GCACTTTGTGTCGTCGGGTGTTTATCGCTTGTGTGATGTCCTGGTGGGGTAGAAAGTCAGTCAGAAGATAAAAGTATCACACATTTAATGTTCAATTGTCTTTAACGGGATTAATGAAATTGTTTGGATGAATTTTTCATTATTTCCATTGTGTATATCGGAAGTTTAGGTACTTTTACCCTCAAATCACATGAGCCAGAAAGTTTGCACCTGTAACTGTATTTTATGTAAGCCTAAGTTGAAAATGCACTTCAGCCTTGCCAAAAGCATTGTCTTCTGAACACACCTGCATCCAGAACTCTTCTTGACTTCCTTCATGGTATTTCTGTTTTAAACTGCAGTCTTCTCTGATCTCAGCATATTTCGAAACATTCTCGATTATTCTCCCGGCACCCAGTTTGAGAACCGTTGAACTATTGGGTAACATCATGGCTGTTTATCAAGATAGTCAGTGCACAGTAAGAACTACAGAAGGAATAACAGACTGGTTTCCCATCTCATCAGGTGTCAGATAGGGATGTGCCCTCTCACCATTGCTGTTCATTTACTTGCATAGGTTGAAAATGTGCTGCCTCTGCAAGGTCATGAATAACACAAGAAAAGACAGGGTTATGCATATCATCATTAGAGATAAAGTCGGAATATGACCATATCTGGATTATACGAACAATGAAATGGTCTAACCATCTAGTGAGAATGCAGCCAAACCAAGCTGCATATGAGACTTTTTAACATCTGGGAGAAAGACCGAGAGAGGGATAGATAAATGATGTAGCAGACACCTGCAAAAAAAGATTTAACAAATTTGTTATCCTATGCCAAGACCAATACAGAAAACCACGACACTGGGCTGCAGCCTAGTTTGAGTGAGACGACAAAAGAAGAATATAGTTGAATGGAAGTGGACCAAGACAGTAGAAAGATAATTTACAGGCAGATCTACAAACACTTGTAGTCACCAACTGGAAAAAAGAGGCCAATCAGAAAAATGAACAGAGGTAGCTGATATCTGCAGCAATTAATCTAAAGGGCTGGGAATACTGAAGAAGAAGTTTGGGAGTCCCAAGGCAGCCATGTTGTGGTAGGATGTCTCATTTTGTGCAGCCAAGTTATCTTCTTCTTCACGTTCATCGGCTGTAAACTCTGGTGGAAAGTTCTGAGTGTCCGTCCACCTCTTGACTCTAGTCTTATTCCAGAACCTGAGCGTTGAATGCACATCAGTTTCACAGTTCTGACATATTTGTATGCAGACTCTTGGCTCTCTGCCTCTCAGGCAGATTTACTCTGACCCAATAAGTCGACTACTACGACATGCATGTTGGGGGTAGGGCAGCTATGTTCTTGTTTTCCCTACAATGGGCACTGGAACCCACACGGGCAGTGCAGCCGAGTATGTGTCTAATGGACTCATTTTGTACTTGGTCCAGTCTTTCTAGAGAAAAGGGGGGGGGGGGGTTTGATGAGCTTAAAAAAGTATCTGATAGGGAAGATAAAGTTTACAACTGGTGAACGCCAAGAAGAAAAAGATACTTGGATTTACAAAAGAGACCTTCTGCAACACCGTGGCTGCCTTGGGACTACCATAACTTCCACCTTTACTCCTCCTTCAGTATTCCGAGCTCTTTATGTTAACTACTGCACCTATAATCTACCTCAGTTTATCTGTTCTTGATCTTCTATCTTTTCTTGGGACTCCTTGAACGTGCCAGGGTTGTCATCCATTTGAATCCATCCGATTTTGAGGCTTAGGTGCCTCTTTCAAAACGAAATGAGGTTTTTGCAAAGATAGATATGTGTTCCGAACACTTTAATCCCCCTCTCCCCCAACCTGGAGGACCAGAGTGTCTCTGTCTATTCTTTGTCCTGCCGTTCAGTTTGGAAAGCCCCGCTGGTAGCTATGCTACTGCCGGCACAGCTCTTAGGGACATACGTGCTACACCACCACGGCAAGGTAGAGACACCTCCAGGACAGCCATACTCTACATTATTACTTAAATTACTGTATAGCTGTACATCTTAGAATTGGATAACCCCACAAGAAATTGGGTCTGATGTTAATTATGCAGCCGAAGTATTGGAGGGGGAGATTGTAAGAATCTTCTGTGTGTCCTCTCCACTTTTATCAGTTGCCAATCATTTCGTTAAGATTATTTCTGAGGCCGTCTTTCTCGTGACCCTATTGGGGTGTGGGGAATAGACTCACTGCCCCCAACAAGCGTAAAAGGCGACTAATTAGGGATGTTTTATTCGAAGTTGGAGTGCATCTGACTGAGAGGTAAGAAACAAACAATATGCGTACAAATAATCGTTTGGAGTTTACAGCCGGTGAACGTTAGGAAGAAGTAGATACTATCGTCTTCGTATTCTTTTTCCTTGCCATATGTCCATAATTTTTTATTTTTTAATCGTGGCTTTCTATGCTAGTCCATACCTGGACATTTCGCTGTTGACAATTTGTTTCAGTGTTCCAACGCTTGATCATTTCTGTGATAGATTACCGTATTGGAATGTTCGCCGTATCCAAAAGTCGGCTGATAAAATCTAGAACGCATACAGAATGAAGCCATGTGGGTATTTCTGGGATGTACAAGAGATGGGGAACACGCTTTGACCACAGGAAAGATCCGCTAAAAGATAGACAGAGGAAGACAACACAAGAAGATTCTTGTTGACCCGGCCATCTTTAGATATAAAGATACAGCTGGACGTGATTCTTGACAGCCTTTTATCGTGGCATAGAGGGGTGTCAACACACGAACTGATACACGCAGCTGCGGATCACAGATTGTGGAGAGGCATATCGCCAAGATCAGACGCTTCTTCTTCTTTCTTTTGTCGTCTCACTGACACCAGGTTGTATTCTAGTGTCGTGGTTTTGTTGTCTCACTGACGCCAGGTTGTAGCCCAGTGTCATGGTTTTGTCGTCTCACTGACGCCAGGTTGTAGCCCAGTGTCGTGGTTTTGTTGTCTCACTGACACCAGGTTGTATTCTAGTGTCGTGGTTTTGTTGTCTCACTGACGCCAGGTTGTAGCCCAGTGTCATGGTTTTGTCGTCTCACTGACGCCAGGTTGTAGCCCAGTGGCGTTGTTTTGTCGCTTGACACCAGGTTGTATCCTAGTGTCGTGGTTTTGTTGTCTCACTGACACCAGGTTGTATCCTAGTGTCGTGGTTTTGTCGTCTCACTGACACCAGGTTGTATCCCAGTGTCATGGTTTTGTCGTCTCACTGACGCCAGGTTGTAGCCCAGTGGCGTGGTTTTGTCGTCTCACTGACACCAGGTTGTATCCTAGTGTCGTGGTTTTGTTGTCTCACTGACACCAGGTTGTATCCTAGTGTCGTGGTTTTGTCGTCTCACTGACACCAGGTTGTATCCCAGTGTCATGGTTTTGTCGTCTCACTGACACCAGGTTGTATCCCAGTGTCGTGGTTTTGTCGTCTCACTGACACCAGGTTGTATCCTAGTGTCGTGGTTTTGTTGTCTCACTGACACCAGGTTGTATCCCAGTGTCATGGTTTTGTCGTCTCACTGACGCCAGGTTGTAGCCCAGTGGCGTGGTTTTGTCGTCTCACTGACACCAGGTTGTATCCCAGTGTCATGGTTTTGTCGTCTCACTGACGCCAGGTTGTAGCCCAGTGGCGTGGTTTTGTCGTCTCACTGACACCAGGTTGTATCCCAGTGTCATGGTTTTGTCGTCTCACTGACGCCAGGTTGTAGCCCAGTGGCGTGGTTTTGTCGTCTCACTGACGCCAGGTTGTAGCCCAGTTGCGTGGTTTTGTTGCCTGACACCAGGTTTTATCCTAGTGTCATGGTTTTGTTGTCTCACTGACACCAGGTTGTATCCCAGTGTCGTGGTTTTGTTGTCTCACTGACACCAGGTTGTATCCCAGTGTCATGGTTTTGTCGTCTCACTGACGCCAGGTTGTAGCCCAGTGGCGTGGTTTTGTTGCCTGACACCAGGTTTTATCCTAGTGTCGTGGTTTTGTTGTCTCACCGACACCAGGTTGTATCCCAGTGTCGTGGTTTTGTTGTCTCACTGACACCAGGTTGTATCCCAGTGACGTGGATTTTTTTAAATTTCCCTTGTGCTTCTTTAGTGGCTCGGTGGTTGATTTGTTTATCTTTGTACTTGTTTCAGCGACACCATTTATCCATCTCTGTCTTGGCCTTTCCATCACCGTCCTACCAGACGTTCTGATGTAAAATGTCTTATATGAAGTTTGGTCTGGTTGCATCCTCACTAGATGGCCGAACCATTTTATTTTGTGTCTGTCAATTTAATTCAGACACGGTCGTTTCCCAACTTTCTCTGTAATGCTGGTATTCGTAACCCTGTCCCTTTTTGTGTTAATGCCATTATGGAGACAGTGTACTTCACAAGTAGTAATTGTCTGTTTTAGTGCCCTATTCATTGTCCATTTTTGACACTTATTACAGAAAGTAGGGATGAAGATGTTATTAATCATTTGCTGTTTTACTGGAATGGAGACATCACATGTACTTTTATGTGTCAAATGTGGTGTTAGTTGTCCCAGTATCCGGTCTATACATCGTCTCTATTTTGTTTTTATTTCTGACGCATGGTAATAGCTTAGGCCTAATTGAAATTATTCTGGAGATTCTCTTATGTTTCTACTATTAACATTTGGTCATCTTCTCTACTGACTAATTTTTACTTGCTATGTTGTTAGGTCCGTAGACACTATTTATACACAACGAAGAATGGTAAACCAACACAAAAAAATGGTGTCGCCACAGGCTGAGTTATTACGAAAGATGGAATCCGAGCGCTTATCGACCTGTCCGACGTGCAGTGAGGATAATCTATCGATTAACTAACCGACTGACTGACTAACACTATATATGCTTGGCAAATGGCGATTTTGAAATAAAGAGACGAAACGAACAGTACACAATTTCTCCGAGTGGAACAGGAAGTAGCGTCATTTGTCCTTTACTGCAAGGGGGTTGAGGGGCAAGATTTCACAGATCGCTGGCAAAATGATTTCTTTACCGAAAAGTCACCTAGTTCAGGCTGCTACAAAGGTTGTAGCCAGAAGCAGCCCAGGCTCCGTGAGCCTGCCAGCCTCACCTGTTCCCGCGTCCAAAGTCGTTGTGGAGCAGCCACTGAAAAGGTTGACTAGCTATTCTTTGTTTCAGCGGATACCGACTTTCGGATATGCGTCGACCAGTGCTACGGTGTCTTTGGTTGGGCCTAGTGGTGAGTTCGTTGATTAAACAAACTGAGTAAAAACAGTATTTAAAAATAGGCTAACTTAGCCGCTAAGACATAAATAACTTAACCAAAAAACAAAAACAAAAATAAGTGGAGGTCCTTATGCTTATGCTTTGGGCACTTTGGCCTCAAGTGAGAAGAGCAAACAAATAACATAGGATTCACATTCACGGAACTAGTTGTAGCTACTGTAACTGACCGGAGAGAGAGAGAGAGAGAGAGAGATAGAAATGATACATCATTGATCATGTAGTTGATAGAGAAAGACAATGGGAGAAGACACCAGACAGCTCTGTGAAGATTTTATCATGGATTAGAAAAGCGTCAGGTCTGGAGTTGAACTTAGATTGGTGCGTGTTCTAAACAACACAGGATGAGTATGATAGATAAGATACTTTAGTAAAAATTTTTTAATGCCCTCTACACCAATAAAACCAGCACAGTTAGATAGCTGTAAACAATCTCTTTCCAGCGGTACCTCATTTAGGCTTGTTACAAGCCTTGTATGTCATTTCTGAGCTGAGATATGTAGGTTTTTTGTGGAGATGACATGTCAAAAACAGCTGCACTGCTAAAACTTGCGTCCCAGAAACAAGAAGTTTTCTCTGCGCAACCAAACTGCACACTTTCGTTTTGGCTTTGTTTTCATTGGACAAGATGGTAGACAATTTTTCTCAGACACAGCCACATAATAGTGATTGCCTGAAAAATGTCACTGTAAATCAAATTAGCCATACCTAGGAAAGAAATTTTATATACAAACGTAAAATTGGACGAAGAATTTAATTAAAACTAGCATTACCATGTCTGGTAATGTTTAACGCCTAAAGCCAACCTTGAATAATTACCGCTATGTTCAATCAAACTGAAAAACAGAGGACATCCGGCTGTCGTAGACATGCGCTGTTAATCGGGTTCGTTCCCGCCGTTTTCAGCTATTTATAACCGGTGAAAATCACACCAATCGCAAAATTTCATGAGATTAGGACCCATCCTGAAACCCCAGGCGACATTTTCCAAACAAGTTTCAAACGGTTTCCATGGTAACAGAAATTGCCAAAAAGACCGCAAATTTCCGAACACTGTAGTCGGTAGAGTATGTTAGAAAAGTATGATTGACTACCCTACTTGTTGGCTAACTAGCTAGAAATGTATGCTATAACTATAAGTGAATTTGATTGCCCTCAGTATCAGTAAATAGTATTAAAACCAGCACTTAAATAAGGGTGAAAGTGAATTACGTAAAGGAAGTGAGGACACAAAGAGAAACCTTACGATAAATGTTTGAGAGAAACTAGAAGTACCAAAATGGATTTACTTACACAGTATTAAAAGTTTTGCAAGGATATATTATAAGTTATTATTACCGAATAGAAGAATTGGGTGTAAGATGTAAAAAGACCCTAGTTCCCAGGTCAACTCAGCCTAAGATGGGTAGCAGGAATGGTCTAGGGAAGTAAAGGTGGCTGACCTGATGTTGACCACATCGCCCAACAAGTGCAGATTGGCCCTCAATGTCTAAAGATGTGGAAAAGATCCATTACTTTACTATATGTAATCCATAAACGGCACAAAAAGGTGATGGTGATTATCAATGAAACCTTAACTCATCAAATCTCAGCAAGCAACCAAAACATTGTGTTTGTATTGTTTAAGGCTGCTGCCAAAGTGACCTTTTGTTCCTTGATGTGTGAATGTGTTTTTCCCCTTCTCAACATTGTTAACTTCTCCAGTCCCAAGCAGTTGCTGCTTCACCTCCTCCTGTCCCAAAGACTTAAAACCAATAATATCGAGCCCTGAAGTAGTTAAACAAAAACACTGTGGGAGAGTAGTTAAACTAATACTTCAGATACAAAGGGTTAATAATATATCATCTATCTGATATAAGATAGCAAGAATATCATTTAATTTTAGAAAGAAACCCATGCTGATTTGTTTGCTACTGAAGGAGTTAAGCTTTTTCGTCTCAGTTCAGTGCATTAATTTCTTGATACCAGCTTGGTTGTAGTCGCCCCTTTTATTCAGGGGCTTTCCCCCTTAGTCTTTGCCTTCCCTTCTTTCATCTGTATGGAAAGAAGTCCATGTGTCTCTTAGTCTGGTCCAGATGATTCTTTCAACTTGGGTGACCATGTTTGTAGTGAACCCCATCATTGACATGGAGTCAGAAACAAGCCCCACCATTGACATGGAATCACAGAAACACACAAATCCCTTTGTTGTGTTGTGGTGTAGACACAAGCTAAAAAAGCAGTTTTAAAAAAAAATCCCATTAGCACTAAGATTATAAGGCTATTATCTGAATAAAGACTGAGGCCCTGACACTTGACTGAGGCCCTGTTAGGGTATATTGTCTGCCTGATAATTTGGGACCGTTATTCGGAAGATAGTTCATTATAATTTTGTAAAGATGGCTTACTAACACGCTTGGTAATGCCGGGATGCTGGTGGCACATCACCTTGCATCGGTTTCAACAGGGGTATCAAAAGCTGACCGTTCAAAAGCAATGGCAAACTACTGAACATAAATTTGCCTTAAAAAAACAGCCAAAAAATGCTTGGGTTGCTAATGTCCTGGGGGGGGGGGGGGGCAACTAAAAAAAAAATGCCCTAAAAAATGGTCAGAAATCAGAGTGATTTATAATCTAATTGACTGTTTACAGGTCCAACTCAGGTCCGTTTCGCCCACACAGATTTAAAGGTGCCAGATTTTTCAGACTACAGACGTGAACAAGTCAAGAGCCCAAATGTCAGTGCTGCAGCTTCAGATAGTCAGCGTAAATTGACATCTTACTTGATCGTCGGAGGTAAGGGCAACTTTTTCTTCATATCCAGATTATTGCATATTTATACTCTGTATTGAAACTTGGATATGAAAGTGCACGTTGTGGGAAAGTTGGCCAGAGACCAGTTTTTTTTTTTTTTTTTCAGGCACACTGTGATGATGATGAGTCATGTTCTACAGAGGACCGGGTAGATGATGATATTGAGTACTTTAAGAATAAGAAACGGCAAAGTTCATGTTCACATTACGACTAATTTCTGGCAGGAGGGCTAGCAGAGTTTGGGGTGTATAGAGATAATATCAGACAACGTAGACAAAAAAACTGTACACGAAAGGGTTAGATGAGAGTAGATTACGAGGCAGACCAAGAGGACTGTAGAGAGTTAATATACAGGCAGACTTACAAACACGTTGATTCGCCAACTGTAAAGAGAAGGCTATTTGGAGAGATGCATGGAAGTGGATATTTGCAGCAATGAACTTCAGCAAGCTTTAGAAGGGGAGTGCCACATTATATATAAGCTAGACTTTGAAGAGGTCTTTGACAGTCTAGATAGCACAATGGTGTGGAGGATCCTATGGGTTACCAGATACAATTATAAACATATTTAAAGGACTCTATGAAGGATACCAATGCAAAGTGAAAGTAGGACTCCTGGAAACAGAACACTTCAGGGTAACATCAGGAGTCCGACAAGGCTGCATTCTGTCACCTTTCTGGTTTCTCATAGTGATATATTATGTTACGAAGAAAGCAACCTCAGGCACACAGATTGGCCTTCGTTGAAACCTTCTGAAACATTTAGACTTTGCAGATGATATCTGTATTATCAGTCAAAGTAAAGAACATCTACAAAAAAAAGGACAGATAAGATCACAAAAATGGCAAAACAGACAGGATTAAGAATCAGTGTGAATAAAACAAAACTGCTGGAGATAAACCCCACAAGTGAAAGACCTATAGTAATAGATAATGTAGGTTTGGAAACAGAAACTGACTTCACTTACCTGGGAAGCATCTCCTCAGATGGAAATGTAGTGGTTGAATTCAAGCAGAGAATTGCAAAGGCAAATGGTGCTTATAACAGACTTCAGGGTGTCTGAAGATCAAACATCTACAGCACTGAAAGTGAACTCAGGTTATACAAAACATGCGTTAGGACAGTTCTCCTCTGTGGAGCAGAAAGTTGGAGCACAGACAGGAAGATAGAGAGCCTGCTCCGAGGTTTTGAAGAAAGACTTTTCAGAAGATTTTTGGGGTTCACATGGGAAGATAAAATCAGCAATTCTAGATTACAACAAATGACAGACTTAAGAAGAAGTAAATTTAGAAATTAAAAAAAACGAAGATGGAGGTGGATTAAACACGTCTACAAAATGAAAAAAATATGCGCTAGACAGGCAGTACAATGGACACCACAAGGACTGCGGGGAAGGGGCAGGCCTAGAGGCACTTGTAGGCACACTTTTGAGGCTAGACTCAAGGCTACGCGAATGAAAAAAAACTGGAGATAGCATGGCTCAGGATAGAGTGGTGACAGTTCATCTCTGCCTTATGTGCCTGTGGGTGCAATGAGGATGGATTGAATAAACTTTAAGGGCTACTGTAGAAGATCCCTGTGTGGGGAAGAATAAGCCCACTGCCTTCCCCATAAGCATGTTGTAAGAGTCGACTTATTAGGGACTTCCTTCAAAGTCAGGGTGCATCTGCCTGAGCGGCAAGGAACCAACAATCTGCATACAGTTAAGTCATATCTGTTAAACGAGATCTAACATGGTTATGCCAGGAATTGTGGTGGGTGGTCATAATATAAACAACCTACGATATGCTGATGACATTGTCTTGATAGCGACAAGTCAGAAAGAACAACAGGGATTAATTCTTCTTCGCATTCACCAGCTGTAAACTTTGGTGGAAAGTTCTGATTGTTTTTCCACTTCTGGACTGCAGTTCTGTTCCAGAACCTGAGTGTTGCGTATGCATCCATTTTACAGATCTGACTCAATTGTATGCAGACTGTTGGTTCCTTGCCTCTCAGGCAGATGGGTTCCGACTTCGAAGGAAGCTCCCAATTAGTTGGCTCCTACAAAATGCTTTTGGGTAGGCATTGGGTCTATTCTTGTTTTCCCTATAATAGGGCCCCGGAACCCACACGGGAAAGGGATTATTTGATACAGTGGTTGTAGAATGTGATAAATTGAGCCTCAGCTTGAACAATGGGAGGACAGAACTAATGGGAATTTTAGAGACGAGAATGGTGCCTAAATGTATAATTGAAGTCGAAGGTGTTATTTTAAGACAAGTACAGAAATTTAGGCATCTAGGCACATGGTTTTACATACAAATCCTTAGAATTCCTTGGACAGCCAAAAAGAGCAACCTAAGATGTTCTGAAAGAGGCGAAGGCTCTAAAACAGTGGCTCTCAACATTCCTAATGCTGCGACCCTTTAATACAGTTCCTCATGCTGTTGCGACCCCCTAACCTTAAAATTATTTTCGTTGCTACTTCATTACTTAATGGATATGTGTTTTCCCATGGTCTTTGGCGACCCCTGTGAAAGGGTCGTATGTGCCAGAAAAGGGTTGCGACCCATAGGTTGAGGACCTCTGATCTAAAACAACTTATCAGAAAGAAACAGTTGTCATTTTATTGGTCATGTTATTATAGGAAGGAAACTGGAACATTTTGTGACTGCTGGAACAATATGTTGAAAAAAAAAAAAGTCACAGGAAGACAGTGTGAGATTATTCTTGACAGCCTTTTCTCATGGCACAGAGGAGGGTTAACACACAAATTGATACATGCTGTTGCAGATTGTGGAGAGGCATGTTCACCCAGGCCAGTGGGCAAGGCATTTGATGGTGCTGAATTCTATATGTACTATTTGATTACCAATATATGTGGTCTAGTTCATATTTCACAAACTGTACTCTTTCATCAGGTGGTGCCGTAGCAGCCGTGTATGCTGCCAAAGCGGTCGTTCGATTGGCTGTCGGTAACCTGAGTCCTGCTGCCGATGTTGTAGCTCTGTCGAAGATTGAGGTCAAACTTTCTGACATCCCAGAAGGTCGTAATGTCACCATGAAGTGGAGAGGCAAGCCATTGTTTGTTCGGCACAGGACAGATGAGGAAATTGCTACAGAGGCTGCAGTCGACTTATCTCAGCTGAGGGATCCACAGCCAGATTCTGATAGGGCTAAGAATCCTAAATTCCTTATCCTCGTTGGAGTTTGTACTCATTTAGGTGAGTTTTCTTTAGCAGAATTACAAGCTTGCAGTTTTGTTCTCTTTTTTTGTGTAGTCCACTGCTTTGTTAGATTACTCCACAAGCTTGTCTTCTTATCTTTAGTTATGCTAGATACTTTCACAAAATATTTTCTTAACCATCAATCAATCAATCAGGTGCCGTCTTCACAATGAAGGTTGGCTGAAATGGATCTCCAACAAGCTCTGTCTCTTGCCCTTGATGTACACTCACTCATACGGCTGATCATCCATCTCTTGATGTTATCCTCCCACTTCTTAACCATGGCCTCATTGAAAACTGCCAATTACTACCTTCTTTATACCACTTTTGCGGTGTAGGCAGGGGGGTCTAAGTCTGAGGATTTACGGCTGTATAGCTAGTGCTGCTGTCATGATTGTGCAGGTGAGGGTTTTATCCCCCCCCCCCCTGACTTACAGAGGATTCGAAACCGGGTCTTCCGCTTGAGAGCCCAGTGCTCTAACCGTTCGGCCAGCCCCTATGGCCTCATTAACTGTTTTAAATTTGGGTAATGGATGCTTGATTCTTCTTCTGCCTTTCTATCCCCCAATGAAGCATAGGCCCTCAGCCAACTCACGCCAAGTCGTTCTATCCTTCGCCATTGCATGGAGCTCTCCCCATGTCCTCCCCATCTTTCTAACCTCATTCTCCAGCTCTCTTCTCCGTGTTTTTGGCCTTCCTTTATTCCTATGCCCCTGTGGGTTCCAATGCAAAGACATTCTAGTTATGCTGTTTTCTTAGTGTGTGTCCTATCCAACGCCAGCATCTTTTCCTTGCCTCTTGGTCCACTGGAGCCTGTTTAGTTCTTGATAGATGCTTGATTGCTATAGTCCAATTCTTGAAATTAGTGTTTTTTTAAAGTATGTAGACCCTTTTTAAACTAGAGTGGTTTATGGGACATATGAAGCTATCTATACTCATATTGTTGTAAACATGCACTTGATGGATGGCGTGGTTCAACATTACACCAGCCACCTTTACTTGACACTTCTGATGGCTTCCTGGTTAGTGCCTTGTGGGAGGGGGTGTACAGTTCGGAGGAGCAGGTGGATCACCACAGTCTTGTGAGATTGATGCAGGAGGAAGTGACGAGAAGTTCTGCCAGATGCTCAAGGCTCAGGAAAGGGAAGACGGACATTTAATCAGAATGCTACTGGCACCATTAGTATCGAAACTCTTTGCTGGCTGCTGAAGATGGGGACAGAGTGCTTATGAGAATGCCCTAAGTGCTCTGATGTCAGAACATGGCTGCCTTATGCATCTGATTTGTGTGTATGCCTTTGCTAAGACTGCAGTCTGTCAGTGGTGCTTCACATGTCATATTGGTTTCTTTTCAGGCTGTGTCCCCATCGCCAATGCCGGTGATTATGGCGGCTACTACTGCCCATGCCACGGATCTCACTACGATGGATCTGGAAGAATCAGAAAAGGACCCGCTCCTCTCAACCTTGAAGTCCCCCCATATGAGTTCTTAGATGAGAACATCGTAGTCGTGGGGTGATATGTACGTGTATATATTTTGGCAAGCTTAAACTCTAGGAGAGATGAACATTCATAGAATATACAGTGTGAACGTGTTCTTCTAAGTAGATATACAATCTATGCTGGTTTCATGACAGTGTTGTTGAAATAGACATAATTAATGACAACATTATGGAATTTTCACAAATCTAAGGAAAAGTAATCATTTGTTCCAGTTAAACGTTTTACATATTTGATGTGAAAAGTTTTTTTTTTTTTTTTAAATGACAATTCATTTTGGGACTGCTTAATATTTAGGTATAGGACTTGAGTTGTAATCTATTAGTTTGTGTGGTCAGTTGGTTTTTCTAAAGAGTATAAGAACAGACGATTTGTGGATGCACATGTTTGCCAGCCCACTACAGCTAGCTGTGTAATAAACCAGTTTGGATATATTCATGGGCTTGTTTGTTTTTTCTTTGTGTGACTTTTCATTTCTGGGATGTTTCTGTGTTGAAGTGATTATGTGCTTTGCCTTATGATGTCTGTGGCAGGGGTTCATTTCACAGCCTGCACTTTTCGGTTCACTCCGGAAATGGAAAAGAGGATCCAGGCTTTCGAAGATAAATGCTACAGACAAATGTTACGAATTAGTTATGTAGAACATAAAACTAATTAAAATTCAAGAAACAAAATTCACAAATTTGCAGATCAGAGGCCTCTTCTGGCAATGGTGAAACGTTGCAAGCTAAGTTGGTTCTGTTATGTGGTTTCATTGCAAAGACTATACTTCAAAGAACATTGGGGATAGGCAAAGAAGAATCTGACATAACATCAAGAAATGGACAGAACTAAATTCTTATACTCTTGATTAACAAGTGAAAGACACAGATGGTGGATCGATCACCTTCCCGAGGTCAGGATGGCTCTTGAGGAAGTAATCTTAGCGTTGATAAAGATGCAGCATGTGTAATCAGTGGTAAACCTTTGTATTATTGGCCAGATGCAGCCACACAAAAGAGAATAAAACTCATGTTGCCCCCCCCCCCCCCCCCCCCCCCCACCCCCCCCCCTGAGAATGTCAGGAAGGCAAAAGAGGCTGAACACTCAGAGAAGGTGGACTACTGACAATCGGAAGCTTCCTATTGTGCTGGCTCCTTCCTGACAGTTTCTACTACAATCATAGACTGTGTTTAGTTCCCATTGGGCACTTATCATATCTTGTGGTAATTCAGAGCTGATAGAGGCAAACACAAATAAAAATATTCAATATTTTGAACTTTTAATGTGCCAAGAACACAATCTGGCAAACTTTCTCCCAGCGCAATGCCAGTTTTAAAATGTTCATTTGTGTTGGAAATACTATATAAAACAAATAATGGATAAACAATTGTCTATAATGCTTGGCAGGTGAATGGGTGCTTACAAGATTTGACTGCCAAATATCTGCAGGGTAAACCAAAGTAGTACTGGGTGTGGCTGTTATGGGTACCTTAATTATAATTTTTTAGAAGCTTAAACAGGGTATCTAGGGTTTACCTTGTTGGTTTGACTTCCAGGTTGTATCTCAAAAATGTCGCAACCTGAAAGGGGAATTTTAATTAAAACTCGTGTCTCACCAGATACAGTGCAGACCTGATAAAGACAACTCATCAGTGACCCCAAAAGTGATTCTTCTCATGCGAAATTCCTCTTATAGAGATCAAAATTCGGGTGGAATTGCCAGGAATAAACAAATTGTTCTTCCAACTGAAATTTATCCGAGATCGACTTAATCAGTCTACGCTGTGCATTGTGGTTATATGTTCGGTTGTTACCTGGGTAGAGATTTCTTTGCAGCTGTATTCATGACTTCCAGATTAACTCTTCCTCCTATGAACAAAGTAACGACCTGGGAGTCCTAAACTTCATCTCTGCCAGTCAGAGAGCTTGCCTGCCACGACTGTTTAAAAGAGTTTGATCCCTAGCAGGCGCTTGTGCTCCTCTTTCCTTCTCTTTCTGGCTCTATGAGATCAGTCTTATCTCAAAAACATGAGTAACAGCCATTCTTCAGAAGCTTCTGGGTAATGAGAAGGGATGCAGACCTCCCCCTTCTTGTATGTCATGACCTTTTAACAGCTGTTCTCAAACTATGGGTGGCGACCTTTATTTTTTATTGTGGCACGAACCTTTCACAGGGGTCGACAAAGACCATCGCAAAACATATATGTATTCTCTGAAGTTACAAAGTAGCGACGAAAATAATTGTATTGTTGGGGATCGCCACAACATGAGGAACTGTTTTAAAGGGTCGCCAGAACATGAGGAACTGTATTAAAGGGTCTCGGCATAGGAAGGTTGAGAACCACTGACCTAGGGTTTTTAGGCGTGCCGTAATGAGAGCGACGTTCTGTGAAGGATCTGCTGATTAATGATGATGTGTGTAAGAGAGAGGGGGGGGGGATATATTTCTGATCTGTTATCTGCGTTACATTAGGTATTTTGGTACTTGCCGTTCTGAATGAATCAAGAAGTTATCACTCCATTCGGGATATTTCCTAAACGTGCTCCATCCTCTTCTTCAGCAGCCAATGAAGAGTCGACATGCTAATAGTATCAGTTGCCGCCTGATTAAAAGTCCGCCTATGTTTCCCACTGAGTGTTGAATATGTTCCATAGATTCTACTCACCCTTCTCTCTCTCTCTCTTTTTTTCTCTCTCTCTCTCTCTCTGTGTGTTACACTGTACTGTCCCGGAAAGCCTCTCCACGCCCGTTTCATCATAAAGTAGCCCACCGTCCGGAGGAGTGGCAGCAGCTAAACAGCCCGCTCCTGACCTCGTTACATTAAAAAAAAAACTATCAGGATTCAACTGGTCGTTGTCCACCTTTACTTCCCTAGATGCTGTGTTGCACCCTTTTTAAGCTTGGTAGTTTTGGTGCAAACCGTATTGTTAGAGAATTTGTGAAACGACTACACGCTGTATTACTTGATAACAAAACTGGACAGTCTCTGTCGAAAGGATACCGCGAAATAGCCAGACAAAAGATATTACAGACAAAAAGACACGGTGAACCTGTAAAGCAGGTGGTTACTTTCGAGTGTAGTTTATTTTGAATGAGTTGAAATGATTAAGTTAATTGCGTCGTTTTATTAAATTTTAATACGCACCTGTCGGCTCTGTGGCTAAGTCGATGCGAACGCTTCGGGATGCCGGGTTCGATCCCAGCTGCGGGCCATGCGCCTTGCGTTGGTTTCGACAGTGGTATCAAGAAAACCTACCGTCTAGGAAACAATGGCAAACTACTGGACGTAAATTTGCATAGAAAACCCACACAACAGCCAGGGGTTGTTGGGGTTGGTTCTGCAACATCCTGTAAAGGATATGCAACTAACCAACTAATACGCACCTTACCAGATAAAATGAAATATGTCAAACAAAATACTGTGAAGTCAAAAAGACATGGTAGTGAACCTGCATCAGTCCTGATAAAACAGTTAAAATGTTATCTAGCTCCCTTACTTCTGCAGACGTCAACCCACAACAACAGTGGTGTCATCAATGTATTCATATGGAGGTACTTCTAGATTTAGAGGGGCCGGTCCCTTTCTGATCCTTCCGGATCCGTCATAGTGAGATCCGTGGCACGGACAGTAGTAGCCGCCTTCGTAATCTCCGGCGTCTGCAATTGGGATGCAGCCTGTAACATGGATGCGGTGAGAATACAGATACGCGTCGGGCCGAAACAGGGATGTTTTACTTGACATTTCGTAAAAACCTGGCCACTGAATTACCTGTAAGTAATAAAAAGTAAAGGACCTTTTCCCCCGCCTTTAGGCCTAGACTTGTATTTTATAGACCAACGGCACAAGATGGGTGATGTGGTCAGCATCACGCCGGCCGCCTCTACTTCCCGGGACTGCACCCGGTACCCACTCAAGGCTGGGTCGACCTGGGAGTCAAGGTCATTTTTGAAGACTAGTCCCTCTCCGCCAGGGAGCGAACCCACGACCTTCCGATCCGCGGCGCGCGTCTACGGCGACTCCCGAATCACCTGTACTTTAACGGAAACGTACACAGACCAAAAGATGGGGAAAAGAAGATAGTGGCGCTTACCAGGCATCCGTGTCAAGCAGGACCATTGAGATAACCGATGCTTCTATAACATGAGCATGAGCAGCAGAACAAGCAGACACACATGCAGTAATTATATCCACACAGAAACATAGAGATATGTCCTTGCAATTAAGCACCAGAAAATGCTGAGCATATGTTCCAACATTATTAACTGCCAACAAAATCTCATCTGGCACGTTCCAACCTCAATGAAAACAAAGCTGCATGGTACACTGGAAGATTTGGACTGCACGATAGTTTTCATAAAGGCTATCGGCCTTCTGCTCAAACAAAGTTTTTCTGACAGAAGTATTGAAGAATAAGAACAAAAACTATCAGACTCAATAAACATGCAACACAAAAGTTAGTATACGCTCTGATATTGTGGGAAGCATTCGAAAATCACAAGTAACTCCGCTCACCTGAATCTACACACCTGGTTATGCTGACGTAAGAGGAAATTGGGTTTTTGTGAACTCCAGGGCAAGTTGATGTAGTGATTTTACACCAGCCTTGCGGGCCAGTACAAATTTTTCCGCGGGTCAGTTTGAGCCTTCGGGCCATAGTTTGCCCACCCCCTACTCTAGATGTACAATGTCTGTAATGTCAAACATGCAGTCTTCTCCTTGGGCGCCCTAGGGGGTCGGCGTGGTCTCGGGGCATGGTGTCCGCCTAGAGGTTCTGGGTTCAATCCCCGATAAGGACTGGGATTTTTTTCACGTGGACTTCTAGTAATTCCAATAGTCTCTGGGTAGTGTTTGTTTTAGTATCCAGAAGCCATGAGTTGCTAACCCTTAGGCTCGGTATTATGGATATCGCAACATTTCGGCCATGATTCCATTGTAAATACCGTAAATCTGGGAGAAAATGTGGCTTTCCTGCCTACCCCCGGGATTGAACCCGGACCACAAGGAGTTCGTCACCCAGTCTCCGCGCAATTCGGTTTAGCCAACTACGCTAGAGAGCCGAGTGAGATCTGACGCCCGTGATAAAAATCCGTTGCCATTTTGAAATTGACAAGAGTAGAGTAACCGTGCTGCCCGGGCGAAATTTTGAGTTTAAACCCCACCCAAAGTATTTTATGATCCTCGCCGGTACTACAGAGCCTGTGCACTGTGCTGATCTTGTTTCGGACTCAGACTTGAGTTAGAAGAAGAACGGAGTACTTATGGGTTACTACCTATGGGCCATGATGTTCATCCTTTGTTCAAATCTGAAATCTCAAACCTTGGACGCCCTCTTGCTGCCACATTAGATCTGTTGTTTTAGGTGTAGCGCCAATGTTGCTAATTCGTGTGTCTGCATTCTAACCAGATGAACAAACCATCTGATCCTCCACATCTCAATGAATATAAAGCTTAAGCAAGATGCTCCCCCCCCCCCCCCCCCCAATCTTCCGCCAACTGACTCTATCAGATAAGATTGACTTATATGTTTGCATGTTCGAACACAGCCCAGTCAGCCGAATTATGTTTCCATGTCTTTATCCGCCTGCGTCTTATCTTCTCCCAAAAAAATAGATCAAACTTATTTTCACTATTTGCTAATTTAAAAAATCAAACAAGCAGACGTACAAACAAACAGAAAGACAAACAGGCACTTTTATTTTAGTTTATCCCATCCCGGGGCTCTGATATATTATGGGGTGAGGGGGGTATAGGGTTAGTGTTTGTCGGTATTAATTTCTCACCCTAATACGCCTATACTATTGGACTTTCCCGGGAACCGCCTGCGAAATCTCTCCGTGTCCGAGATAAGGTGAATTAAAATAAAAGAGCCCAACAAACAGAGCGACAAGTTGTTACCTAGATGTGTACAAACTCCAATCACAATGAGAAACTTGGGGTTCTGAGCTCTATCAGCGTCTGTCTGTGGATCTCTCAGAGTGGACAAGTCAACTGCGGCCTCTCGCTCAATGTCCTCGTCGGTTCTATGGCGCACAAACAGTGGCTTGCCTCGCCACTTGACCTTCACATTGCGACCTTCCGCTATCTCCCCAAGTTTGATCTCGACCTTTGACATAGCGACGACATCGGCTGCAGGACTCAAGTTGTTCACTGCCAAGCGAACAAGGAACTTGGCGGCATAGACGGCAACCACAGAACCGGCTGCAGGCAGAGAATCGTCAGTTTGTTTTTAAAAAAACTTGAGCATAGCTCATCTGGCTCAGTGTCGTGAACATCGAAGCCCTTCAGCCTTGGTGCCACGTACACTGTTAATCTAGGGCGCATGCGTCTTTTCATTTTCGCACCTTCGGCTTTTTGGACATTAAAAGTTAGACCTTTAATTTTTACCGACTAATTGACAATCAATTGGTGAAGTGATCAACGTCATGCCGGTCTTCGCTAGTTCCCAGGAGAGCACCCGGTACCCATTTAAGGCTGGGTGGACTTGGGAGCCAAAACTGAAATTTGAAAGAAATTCTTCTTCTTTCGTTCGCCTGAAATAAGTTCAGTCTATGTCAGCAATTTTGTCTTTCGAATAAATTTCACTGTCGTTTTTAGTTCGTTCAGTGGTCCGTAGAGTTTACGTTCCTGTGTTGTTCTTTCTTGCAAAGAGGTTGGCCTTAATGTGTCAAAGGTAGTGCAGTCATGGAGTAGGTTATGCTGTCTGGGGCACCTATCCACGGGTGCACATGGCTGATACGCCTATCTTGAGGTGTGTGTACATGTGGTTACGTAAATCGTTTGTGCCCAGCTCTGAGGCGAAGGGTAATTACTTGTTCTGATCTGTCCATAATAAAAATAGTCGTCATGGGCTGGGGCTGGTGACTTCCAGACCGGTTTAATGACCCTTTTATTTTGGTGGTATGTAACTGGAACATCCAGCTGTACTTTTGTTGCACCTTCCCCTGCCAATTGAACAGCACTCTCATTTCCAGGCACTCCCCAATGGACAGTATCCATTGCGTTGCGGCTCTTCGCTGACAGCTGGGTTTTGTCAGCAGTGCTTGCAATTCTAGCAGTTTCCCAGACAGTTCTTCAAATCCGGATTTTGCATCCGTCAGCATTACTGTAGACTGTGAGCCAAGGTTGGTATTTAACAGTGAAAGAAATCAAACGCCACGACGCTGATTTGAACTTTACACTTAAGGGTCTGCCGACTAGTGTCTAGTGGCTACTCTAGTGCCACCCAAGCAACCACAATACTTTACACCCTGTCAGAATTTTAAAGTCTTCCCTACGTTGTTTTATCAGCTGACACAGTAAGACATATCTAATCAATGAGGATATATGGTTTCTTAAGTACTTAGGAAGTATCTTTACACACAATGGTAAAACAGACAGAGAGATAGAAACGAGAGTCCAACAATCCAACAATGTTACGTGCCATCCTGCTCCAATTTTAAAACACCCTGCTATCCCAATAGAGACAAATAAATAAATTATAAATACAATATTTATACCAACTTAAGGTTAACTGTGTCAGACTTAGACACTGATAAAAGAACACTAAAGAAAACAATAACCCCCTGTAAAATGAGTAGTTAGAGAATGGCTGTGAATAAAACCAGAAGAGATCGAGTACGAAACGACCTGATCATAAGAACTGTTGAAACAACACCCATCGTCAAATGTAATATGAAACAAAGAATGAAATGGGTTGGCCATCCAATTATAATGAAACCAACGATGCCAGAAGCAAGAGCGTACAAACAGAAAATCGAAACATCAAGAGGCAGGAGAAAACAGAAAAGAATATGAATTGAAGGAGTCACTGACACCTTGAGGCTGCATAACATCAAGCGACTGAGCGCGCCCTGGCTTGGCTGTCGATCGTCTGATGGGCTGCGACGCATAGCGGCATAAACAGACATTGACCAAAGAAGAAGAAATGGTTTCTGGAAGCAGAAACGTCCAGACCAGAATTGTCAGACCTATAAAGGGACGCTACAACTCAGCTGGGTAAAGATTCGACATCTAGCATTCAGGACAAGCCGATATTAGTTCCGTCTCCCTCACAACAGCCGGCAAAGGGTTTTCATACTGATGGTACGCGTTGTCACCTGGTTAACTACTCGTTGTGCCTGTCTAAAGAGTCCCGTTTGGCACCCAGAGCCGGCAGACATTTCCCGCTGCACCATTCACTCAAGGTACGGGTTTTCTATCGCTCCAAATCTATCTGTCTGTCTGTCTGTCTGTCTGTCTGTCTGTCTGTCTGTCTGTCTGTCTGTCTGTCTGTCTGTCTGTCTGTCTGTCTGTCTGTCTGTCTGTCTGTCTGTCTGTCTGTCTGTCTTCATTTCTCTTCCCTCTCTATCTCTCCCTGTTTCACTATCTCTATACACCCCTCCCCACGCCCCCCCCCCACCCCCGCCAGCACTTACCGCCTACTGTCAAGTACGACGTCATCTTGCGCCTGCTGTCAGAATCGGAAGCTTTGACATTGGGCTTCTTGACCTCATCTCGCCTGTACTCGGTAAAGTCCGGTACTTTGATATCGGTGTGGGCCATCCTAGTTTGGCTGCAACCTGGAAACAGATTGTTGAACGTGCAAGAGGAAAGAAGGTGGCTGAAAATTGCCGGTAAAAGTGCACCTCAAGGACGCAGTGTGTCCATCGGTGACCCGGTCGCACACTTGATCACCGGCAGACGACTTCGTCGCCAGTTGGGGCAGTATTTGGGTCTGTCTCATTAAAAAAGGTAACGGTAAAGTCGGGAGATGTGAACCAGCGTCATTCAGCGTCATTGCACACGGTTATAAACCAAAAGTGCTCTGCCACCAGTACGGACCACTGATAAGAAACTGCCCGCCTGTGTCTCCGTTCGCACGAAACTCTGTAGCTACAGCGACTTTCTTCCATTTACCCCAGAGTGTCAACTCTGGTACCCATTTCCTAGAGGCTGGGTGAACCCCGGGAACAGCCCGGTTTCGAACACCGACCTTGGGCTACAGCAAGTCGCAGCTGGATTTGAAAGCGAGCCCTTATCGACTGCGCTAACGCGGCCCAATTTTGATCGCAATCATTTGATCGCATCAACAATGCAGGAGTCATTTTCACTGCTTCTTGGTGGCGAGCAATGCTTAGCCATTTTATGTGGCCCACTTAACCTAGGCACAATTGTGACCTAAAGCTTCCTCTTTGGGGATGCTGATTGGAGGTGACAATTGTTTTTCCACAAAGTAAGGCAAAGCAGATGGTGCTGGAAACCAATTACGCAAGAAATTATCGTTTACCAGCGCCTTAGGATGTCTGTACTGGTGCAGTTGTGGTGGGAGGAGGGGGAAGGGTCCAGCGTATTTTGGGCCGCGTGGCTAATGATCTGTACATAATGGGATTGTTTTGCCTTGGCAGAAAAAAAATCAGTCGCCTTTTTGAGGATTCTTCTACTTCTCATCTTGTTCTTCACGTTTAGAAAACGTAAACTCCGGCGGAAGTTTCTGGTTGTTCGTCCACTACTGAACATTAGTCTTATTTTGGAACTTGAGTTTTGCGTGCACATCCGTTTACAAACGTTGACTTTGTAAGCAGACTGTTGGTTCCTTACCTTGCAGGCAGATGCCCTGCGAATTCGAAAAAAAATATCCTAATTAAAATGTCGAATTTTACGACAATCAGGTTGGGGGCAGTAAAATTATTTTTTTAAACCCGAAATGGAGCTCCCAAACCATTGTTGCGCACGTAAAAAATCCCTTGACAGTTGGGAATCGAAAAGAGTAGCCTAGCAGCACTGCCCGGGCAAAATTTGGAGTAGCCGGTGCTACAGAACCTGTGCACTGTGCTAAACTTCTTCGGATTCAGACTTGAGTCAGAAGAAGAACGGAGCACTTATAGGTTATACCCGTGTGCCATGATTATGATCAGTTGTTCAAACCTCAAAACTTCTATAGTTCTTTTGGCTCTCCTCCGAACTTCTACCCGATATTATGGCGGCCAAGCAAATAGCCTAACAGGGCCTCAGACATGTGTAAAATGCGGACTTTTTGCCAAGGAACAAATCACGGCAAAGCTATGATTACTTGACAATTTCAAGAGACGCAACACTGCAGATGATAGTACCAGGCGATAAAAGCGACCGTTGACAATTTCAAGATCCTAGTTTTGCCGCGATTTGTTTCTTGGCAGAAAGTCCGCATTTTACACACGACTGAGGCCCTGTTAGGCTATTTGCTTGGCCGCCATAATATCGGGTAGAAGTTCGGAGGAGAGCCGTTCTTTTTTCTTTTTTTTTCTTTCTTCCCTACGTTTTTTTACAGCTTTGGGTGTCGAGGGAGATATTAGGTTCTGCTTCCTGTTCTTCTGGCTGCCTTGACCATAGACATATCGTAATGCTGTAGTGTTTCAGTGATGTTATCTTCCCATGTGGTTCTCGGTCTACCTCTTGCTATAGTTACAGAACAATTAGACATACATAAATGACTACTTACAATTCACATGCCGCCATTTTCGATTTGCTCCCAACAACGATGCGCGATCTGTCCGTTGCTCAGTTTCTTGACCAGCTGATTTAGATACGAATGTAGATAAATAGACTGAATCTGTCTTGTTTCTATGCACGATTTTGATAGAATCTTGAATTAGATATCGCAAGCGTGGTATCATTTTTATTAAGGATTTTAAATAAGAAAATACAACAGTTAATAAATTCCTATTAGTAATTACATTATGTGGCCTGACGGAAGTGGACGCGCTATATTTTCGCACTTTGGTGCACAGTTTCTGAACATTAAGAAAAAGTGTGCACACATTTATGAACATCTACATTTCCGTCCTCCAAGATGAATGTTGAATTTTGAATTAAGAATCGACACCACAGTACTCGGGGCACTCCCATACGCGCTTCGTTGCCTTCTTCAGCAGCAAGCAAAGAGTTCCAAGTTCAACAGTTGATTCACGCCTAGGTGATCTGATTATCTATACAGATGGTTCAGTGCTGAGAGGAAAGAGAAGGGCCTGGGGGTTCGTAGCGAAAGCCAATGGAAAATCTTTAGTGCAGGACAGCCTTGCATATGATACCACAACATCTAGCATGAGAATGGAGGTGCAGGCGGTCACTGCAGCTCTCCGGTGGCTAGAGAACAAGATGTATTCTGATGTTATAATTGTACGGACGCTGAAAGCATGTTGAAAATAGTGAAGACAGGACTGCTTCGAGCAGAGTGGCTCACTTGCAAGGTCACGGGTAGTGAGAATACTTTGGATATTTTCTCCAGGCTATGTCGGCGTGGTGGGGAAATGAACAAGCAGACAGACTGGCTAGATCTGCACCGCTGGGTGGTGAATTGAAACATTACAAGGCAGATGTGGTCAGAGCCTTTTGGGAACAAGTAACGAAATCAAAAGAGAAACGATTATTATAGCTTGGAGAGAATGATGCACCTGGTTGTGACCAGAGGGTTCTGTCGGCACACTATGCTCAGATGAAAAGCAAGACAAACATACAACTAGACTAGACTACGACCGGCACCATTAGTATTGGAACTCTGCGCTGGCTGCTGAGTACTGTGGTGTCAATTCTTGACTCAACTCATCTCGTTGCGTTTCATATAAAGGACGCTGCAGAGCCAACCCGAGTATTTTTCAACTGTTTGTGATTTAACTAGACAATTAACATTCAATGGTTTGCCATTACTTCCTTAACGATCGGTTCTTTATACCACTGTTGAAACTAACACAAGGCGGCCTGTTACCAAACTGTCCGCACTTGGGATCGAACCTGACACCATGGGAATACGAAGCGCAATCGCAAAGCCTATACAGCTACTTCATTACCAAGACTAGTTGCAGCAGCAGCAGCAGTAGTAGTAGTAGTAGTAATAGTAGCAGCAGCAGCAGTAGCAGTAGCAGTAGCAGCAGCAGTAGTAGTAATAGTAGAAGTAGTAGTAGCAGCAGCAGCAGTAGTAGTAGCAGTAGCAGCAGCAGCCGCAGTAGTAGTAGTAGTAGTAATAGTAGTAGTAGTAGTAGTAGTAGTAGTAGTAGTAGTAGTAGTAGTAGTAGTAGTAGTAGTAGTAGTAGTGGTAGTAGTAGTAGTAGTAGTAATAGTAGTAATAGTAGAAGTAATAGTAGTAGTAGTAGTAGTAGTAGTAGTAGTAGTAGTAGTAGTAGTAGTAGTAGTAGTAGTAGTAGTAGTAGTAGTAGTAGTAGTAGTAGTAGTAGTAGTAGTAATAGCAGCAATAATTTATTAACGAACATTCTGTTCTACCCTTCTGCGTAATCTTCGTGATACACAGAGATGTAGACCTTCCTGATACTGGATATTAATCACTGTGAGACCATGAGTGTGTCCGAAAAAAAGATAGATTAGTGACGTTATCATGGGATGACACTAGCTAGCTCCAGCCATCGAGCGCTGGTTTGCAGACTGTTTCTCCACATGTTGGATAACTAGGGTGACTATAATAGCTTCAAATGAAAACTAGACATGCTACTACAATTTTGAGCTGAAAACTGGACACCCAATTAATATTTTGAGCTGAAAACTGGTCACCCCGTTAACATTTTTTTGTTAAATAGACATCCTTTATTTGGCCTCGCTTGCTTACATTGACCAGGCAACGTTTGCTACTATACACTCCACGTTTTGAGTTGTTCATTTTACTATACAGTGTAAGAATAAAGCGCAATTGTCATATTACCCAACACAAAAATTTTGTTGGTTCTTGGTTTTCTCAAGACATAAAGCAGCGCAATGAAAGATGTGTTTATTTTAAACAATTTTAATAAAATAAGTAGACAAAGTGGCAAACTCTTCTTGGTCACATGATCAATTTGAACCATCCAGAAGCCTGTAATGGCTGCCTCTACATGGGATGGACAGGTGTTGGAACATTTGCTATTTCTTGTCAATAAAGCGATGTGCAGTCGCTGTTAAAGGTTTATAATTTGTCAAGATACTTTTGAAGGTATGATCAGAGATTTGACGCACGTCAGTTCAGGATATGTAGACAAATTCACAAGCAACAGTCGATGTTTATAGTTTGTCCATGTTATCTGTTCTGCTCACTCCAATGGATGCTTTGGACTTTTTGCTATTCTTATTTCATTTCTAGACTAGTCACAGTCACTAGACTTTTAAATCTAATGGTTATTGTGGTCTGTTTGTTCCAAAAATTGGCTTCACTGGGTAGGTTGTGAATTTGGGCCAGCAACTGAATAACTAAACTTTATTACCTATCAGTGTCCTTTTATTGTTTTACTTTTAGTTCAAATTCTTCAAATTTTTGTATATTTATTTAATGGTTTGCAGGTTTGACCACAAAATTATTATTCAATAATTGTAAATTTAGGATAGGGATGCTAGTGAAGTACTAAAGTTTTATAAATTGTGTTTTTACTTATGAAACTGGAACCATCACTGCTAGATAGGAATTAAAATTACGAAGTCAAAGATTTCTCAGTTTCTCAGCAGATAAATTAACATTTTAGTGGACCACCATTTACAAATTAGTATTAAGTTTAAGAATCTGACAAATAATCTGTGACCCAGTAAAGTGTAGGGAGGAAATTATTGAAATGACTAAATGTTTGCATTTTATGACTAACTTTTTTGGGCTCTCCTTTCAACTACGGCTGGTAGACGGCCGGTTAGTCTGAGTTCTGTCCCCTGGCTGCAGTGCTATTATGGAGTGGAAAAGAGGGAACGAAACAAAATGACATAATTACTCTGTGTTGGCGATAGACAGCGTGCAGTGACCTGCTGTCATCATACGGTTAGGGTTTCGGTTAGGGTTAGAGGTAGAGTTAAGGTTAGGGTTTGGGCTAGCATTACGGTAAGTGTCGCCGCATCTCGTCTTCGCAGAAAGTCAACATAGGAACCCTAACCCAAACCTTAACCCTAACCCAAACCGTAACCGTATGATGACAGTAGGCGACCTCAATTTGTTTTGTGATTCGTGCCTTGTCCGGTCCGTAATAGCACTGCAGCCAGGGGACAGAACTCAGACTACTGGCCGTCTACTGTTGTCTACTGGCCGTAGTTGAAAGGAGAGCCCTATTTGTTTTCCTAACGAATCTCTTAGCAACTGTACATTGCTGGAATCGGGACAGCGAGACTTAACTGAATAGTATATTTATATATTTATTTTTTATACACATTCGATACAATGTAGGCCTAATTAACATATGAAAATGGCCATTAGCTCACTTGTTTTAAATACTTTATGGGTTAATGATTAACAGGTTTAAAATAAAATCTAATTAATTTCACCACACACGGCTCGATCTGTCTCTTCTACACAATGGCTAGCCACCTCTCGAGAACGATGCACAACCTCCAAGGCTGTAGCAATGATTCCCAAAGAACCTAAAACTTTCAGACCATGAGACAAATGGTGTAACAACTTAGCGTCTTAGCCACTGTGTGTTCTGCTTTTACTCTATATAGTTTTTAACTTGATTGTAAATATTTTAACAGAGCACTGTGTAAAATGTGTTATCACATTTTGGATGCTGTCTAACTTATAGTAATCAGATTTTATGCACCGTATAAATGTGATTTTATTCAAAATTGGATATACTATACGTTGCCACTGTGCACAGTTATGGATTAGTTGCTGTTTATGGGTAAGTATGTACTATTTGTGTGTTGATTTATTACTGTTGTAGATTAAAAAAGTATAAATCGTATAACAGTAGTATTTTAGTGTGCATTTAAACAAATTTACTAAAAAGGCTCCACCAGTGTGGCCTGATGGGGCGAAATTCCTGAACAAAGTACAAAGGCTGGAGGTTGGAGGGGATCAGGTAAAAAAATATATCTGTGATGAGGTGCTTTGCATGTTTTCCACGAGTACATTGTGGCAAGCAGAAAGTCCGTCCTACAAGTGACGGCACAAGATACTTGTGGTTGGTCGAGTGAGCGAGGGGAAGCCTGAGCTAGACTCGTGGTCAGTTGGTTACCAGAAGTCGTAGAAGACGGTTGTGTTAATAGAAGATGTAGTTCTTATGTTGCGTGAAAGACCAGTATTTGAATATGTCGCAGGCGATGGAAGTGTGAATAATCATTGGAGCATGAGGAATAAATGTAATGGAATAAACTGATAGCATGTACAAGGAAGCTGAGCGGTGTTGTGTTATCAAACCTAGACGTTAGAGCAGTGCAAGCTATGTTGCAGTAATCATAGAGAGTAAACCATGACGAAAGCCGATACATCTTAAGCCAAGGTATATTTCAAGTGTCGAGCAAAGCAACAATTCACTCCAAGCGCCGATTCATTCCAAGCACCAAGGTTCATTCCAATATCCAACAGAAAGTTCTATAAACTCTAAATAATGACAGATGCATTAAAAAAGGCTACAGTGATTGTGGATGTGCATGCAAAACTACATGTTCTGAAACCTGACCAAAATCCAGAAGAGGACGAACAACCGGAACCTTCCACCAGAGTTTAAAGCCTTTGAATGTGAAGAAGAATATTTTTAAAAATTTTAATGTGAGAAAGAATGTAGTATTTTTATACATTTGTCATGTCTTTTGTGGGAGAATGGCTGGTAGAGCTATTTACTACAATCCTGTGTGCTCGGGCTGGAGACCCAGGTTCCTTTGAAAGATGGATTTTTTTCTATTGGGGACAGAAATAAAATTTCAACCTGCCCAGTCCATGATGACTGCAGTAGCCTTGTGGCCCTAAATCCTCATGCTCAAGACCTTCCTGTGAATACAGGCAGTAAAGATGGCAGACGTGGGAGGCCTAGAATGGGGTAATAAAACCACCAGGACGACCCAGGGTTCTCTTGGAAGACAACATCCGACATTCCCTGACTGAGAGAGGACTGGTATGGAAGAAAACTAACAAGAAAAATGATGGTAGAGAAGCCTGGTGATCTTTCTGGCAACCTCCAAGGTAGAAGAGGATTGACTAATAAAGACAAATGATTGTTTTTTTGGCTATCCTCCGAACTTCGGGCACTAAAGATGGCGGCAGCACAATATCCTTTCGAGGCACAGTCACGTGACAATTACGCACTTCAGGAGACTTAATTTGCGGTTTTTTGTCGACTACCGCCACGAGTCCCCCACGCCGCTCACGCTGCGTGGATTGGGGCTAAACTAGATGGCTAGGACCCATGAGCAACAGCTTCTGCATCTCCTGAAGCTTTGCTTGTGAGTCCTAGTCATCTAGTTTAGCCCCAATCCACGCTGTGCGGGGGACTTGTGGCGGTAGTTGCCAGAGAACCGCAAATTAATTCATGTGACTGTGGCCCAAAAGGATATTTTGCGGCCGCCATCTTTAGTGCCCGAAGTTTGGAGGAGAGCGGTTTTTTTTTTAACTCTTTCTGGCCAAAATACTTGTTACTGTTACCAGTTCTGTTCAAAGCAGTTGGGATTTAAAATAAATAAATTTACCATTTTGGAGAAAAAGAATAGACCAGTTCTCCCTCTAATATGTATGTCGTAGGAGGCGACTAATTATGGATTTTTCATCTGAAGTTGGAACACATTTGCCTAAGCGGCGAGGAACCAACAGTCTGCATACAAGTAAGCCAGCCATTATATTATCTTTGAAAACACCAAGAAATAAATGGAGAGTTGATTAATACTGAAAATATTAAATGTCTTGTGTGATCATTCGTTGGTTTTGTTTAGTAGATCTTCTGTGACTGTGTTCTGTTATGTGGCATTGAACTCTTCTCCATTCTATATTTGTCAGGTGTTAGATGGAAGGTGACAGTACAGTCGCTGGTGGTGGTGGCAGAGAACCAGGGAAAGCCATCACAAATTTACCAAGTCCATCAGATGAGTCTCAGGTTGCGGCAGATGTTGACCTGCGCTTGGGTTCTGAGATTCATCATCATTTTACTGTCAATCAAAATAATGTACCTTATGGAGGCGGGAAATCTAACATAAACTTTCCACATCCTGGGAGCAATCCACAGTGGGAAAGCAGTAAATATGTAATTGGCGGACACGTAAGGGATGATCATATATCTAAATTATCCCCCTTTTCTAATGAGAATAGCGAGGGGTCCGAGCGGGAGATTCTGCTGGAGCCACTTAGTGCAGATGATGAGTCGACACCAGTGTCCGAGTCCAGAGCTGTGAGTGCGGATGCTCCAGACGATGAAGTTGGGAGAGAAGTAACGCCCAGTGAGGATCCATCTTCCGGGGCAGCTTTTGGTCCATCTGAGGACAGAGAGGATATCAGTGATGAAGAGTTAGACCTGTATTCCCAGGAAAATGGGGACAATCTTCAGCCAGAAGTTTGGCCGTCGGAGGATATCCAAGAGAGTAATCATCGAGCTACTTATAATGCAGACGGTCTGTATGCCATGCCAGAGACACCAGCTGAAATGTCGTATCCTTTAGTGACCTCAGAAACTGTGCATTTTAATGAAAATGACGCCAGAGATTCACATTCTAGTGATGACAGGGAAATCATCGACTTAAAATATGACGATACCGCAGGGAAAAGTGACGCTGGCAGCCATGATGATGGTATTAACCAGCAGTCAAATGTTCCCAGTGAAGATTTAGAGACAGTTTCTGATGATGAGTTGCCTGATGGGACTCTTGTCGGGGATACTCCCGTAGAGCCTGCATTTAATTTAATTGAAGGAGGGGAAGAAGTCAGCAGCTCAGAAGATGAAGCTGCCACTAGTCTAAGAATGCATGATGATCCAAACCCAGAAGTCTGCCTAGTGAACCGAACAAACAGTCTTGTCCTTGATGGTGCTGAGTTCTCTTACATGAATGTTTCATCTGATTTACCATTTCCAGTGGATGAAGTCTCTGCTTTGCCACTGATCTCAGATTCAGCTTCATGTATAGCCCTGCCTCTGCCTCCTTTGGAGGCTGAACCTATATCAGATGAGGAGGATTCAGGGCAAGGCAATGGTGGCTGTGTAGACGTAGAAGGTGGAGAGGCTGGTGAAATTAAGAGTCCTGCGGATGCAGGTTCCCCGGCTTCACTTTCTGGGCAGACCGCTGTGAGGCTTCTTGGTGAAGTAGAACCTATATCAGCAGATGAGAGTAGCGATACTGATGGGGAGTTGCACAGTGGAGATGAAGACAGCTTGTCCAAACCTGAAAATGGAGGCACAAAGTCTAATAACTTTTTAGAAGCAATTGACTCTGACGACGAAGGCGATCTGGGGCCTGGTTCATCCCATAAACATTTATCCTCAGACAGAAGACAGACTCCTGTAGCTTCTTCTGAGTCTGTGCCCAAGGAAAAGACTGAATACATGGAGTCTATTTCAGATGAAGATGATAGTCTGTCTGTTAATGGGAAGGAAGTCAAGCGGTCTGGGTTGTCGGTGACAGCGGATGAATCCCTTACTGGCTTGAGAGGTGTAGAAGCTGAGAAACGACAAATAGCAACAAATTACAGTGAGCACCAGGAGGAGCTGGATTACGAGGAGAATGATGGAGATGAGGGCGAGGGTAGGTCTGCCGCAGAAGCTGTGAAGCCAACAGAAAAGAAGGATTCCAAGGAAGCAAAAGAAGATGGCGAGGTTTGTATGCTTTTTTTTAAAAAACAAAAAGTTAGTTGTATATTCCATTATTTCAAGGGGTGCAAGTGTGCTGTTGTGTGGTGCTGTTTTTGAGTTTTCATCTAGTGTCTTATGGTGCGACATATTTCTGTCTGTTGGTGCGCATTTGGCTGCTTGTTGATGCGCAATTGGCCGGTCTACAATATTAGTCATGTTTTTAGAACATGTCAACATGTGAGTGCGTAGCGTAGAAACCACGAGAAACCACAACCTGAACACCATGGAATTTATTGGGAATGTTTCCCGTGATGTCAGGGGTACGTAAAAAATATAGAACCACAAATTGCTTCTGAAGGATTTTATTTCTTTAGTACACTGTATTTTTTTGGGGTCATATTAAGAGAAGGAAACTGGAACATGTTGTGACCACTGGACAGATCTGTGGAAAAAAGATACAAGAGGAAGGTAACGCAAACAGATTCTCGACAGTCTTTTGTTGTCGCATGGAAGGGTGCCACCGCACGAACTGATACAATACATGCTGTTGAAGATCACAGATTATGAAGAGGCATGATTGCCTTTGCCAGTCAGCAAGGCACTTGATGTTGATGATTATACATCAACAGTTGACCTTTCTTCTTTGTATACCTTCAGTTATTTTTTCTTTTCTATAAAATATATTTTAATTTCTGCTTTGTATACCTAAATTGCTACATTGCTGTGACCTTGTGAAGTCTCCATCCATTATCTTCTATGTCTGCTGTGCTTCCGGATGTTTCCATGTTCATGTTGTACACTCTCGCTGCATTGTTGGATTTATGTTCATGTTGTACGCTCTTGCTGCATTTTTGGATTCATCTTGTACGCTCTCGCTGCATTGTTGGATTCACGTTGTACACTCTTGCTGAGTTGCTCGATTCATGTTCATGTTGTACACTCTTGCTGGGTCGCTCGATTCATGTTCATGTTGTACGCTCTTGCTGCATTGTTGGATTCATGTTGTACGCTCTCGTTGCATTGTTGGATTCATGTTGTACACTCTTGCTGAGTTGCTCGATTCATCTTCATGTTGTACGCTCTCGCTCAGTCGCTCGATTCATCTTCATGTTGTACACACTTGCTGAGTCGCTCAATTCATGTTCATGTTGTACACTCTCGGTGCATTGTTGGATTCATGTTCATGTTGTACACTCTCGCTGCATTGTTGGATTCATGTTCATGTTGTACACTCTCACTGCATTGTTGGATTAATGTTCATGTTGTACACTCTCGCTGCATTGTTGGATTCATGTTCATGTTGTACACTCTCACTGCATTGTTGGGTTCATGTTGTACACTCGCGCTGCATTGTTGGAATTATGTTCATGTTGTACACTCTCGCTGCATTGTTGGAATTATGTTCATGTTGTACACTCTCGCTGCATTGTTGGATTCATGTTCATGTTGTACACTCTCGCTGCATTGTTGGATTCATGTTCATGTTGTACACTTTCGCTGCATTGTTGGATTCATGTTCATGTTGTACACTCTCGCTGCATTGTTGGATTCATGTTCAAGTTGTACACTCTCGCAGCATTGTTGGATTCATGTTCATGTTGTACACTCCCGCTGAGTTGTTGGATTCATGTTCATGTTGTACACTCTCGCTGTATTGTTGGATTCATGTTCATGTTGTACACTCTCGCTGAGTCACTCGATTCATGTTGTACACTCTCACTGAGTCACTCGATTCATGTTGTACACTCTCACTGAGTCACTCGATTCATGTTGTACACTCTCGCTGAGTCACTCGATTCATGTTGTACACTCTCACTGAGTCACTCGATTCATGTTGTACACTCTCGCTGAGTCACTTGATTCATGTTGTACACTCTCACTGAGTCACTCGATTCATGTTGTACACTCTCACTGAGTCACTCGATTCATGTTGTACACTCTCACTGAGTCACTCGATTCATGTTGTACACTCTCACTGAGTCACTCGATTCATGTTGTACACTCTCGCTGAGTCACTCGATTCATGTTTATGTTGTACACTTTCACTGAGTCACTCGATTCATGTTGTACACTCTCACTGAGTCACTCGATTCATGTTTATGTTGTACACTCTCACTGAGTCACTCGATTCATGTTCATGTTGTACACTCTCACTGAGTCACTCGATTCATGTTCATGTTGTACACTCTCACTGAGTCACTCGATTCATGTTCATGTTGTACACTCGCTGCATTGTTGGATTCATGTTTATGTTGTACACTCTCAGTGCATTGTTGGGTTCATGTTGTACACTCTCGCTGCATTGTTGGATTCATGTTCATGTTGTACACTCTCGCTGCATTGTTGGATTCATGTTCATGTTGTACACTTTCGCTGCATTGTTGGATTCATGTTCATGTTGTACACTCTCGCTGAGTTGTTGGATTCATGTTCATGTTGTACACTCTCGCTGAGTTGTTGGATTCATGTTCATGTTGTACACTCTCGCTGCATTGTTGGATTCATGTTCATGTTGTACACTCTCGCTGCATTGTTGGATTCATGTTCATGTTGTACACTCTCGCTGCATTGTTGGATTAATGTTCATGTTGTACACTCTCGCTGCATTGTTGGATTCATGTTGTACACTCTCGCTGCATTGTTGGATTCATGTTCATTAGATGGTCAGACCATTTCAGTCTTTTTTCTCAGTGAATTTTACTGTCTATATTTACCACTTTTGTGGATGTGGGTGTCTTTGAACTTCAGGATTTACGGGCGAATTTCTAGTGCTGTTGCGATGGACTGACGGTTGGGATTTTTATTTTTGCCCCCGACAGAAGAAAACATCTCTAACCTTGCACAGGATTGGAACCTGGGTCTCCTTCTTGAGAGCTCTACATTCTTAACCATTTGGCCAGTCACTACTCATTGAATTTGACAGTGGGTTACATTTTGAATTGACTGATTTAAATTGACTAATAGGAGCATTATTTGTCATTACCCTTGTTGAGAGACGGGAGACAGGCAGAAATATTTTGGCAATTGTATTGGTTATTGCCCATCTGTTGAGACAAATGAAATGGTATGAATATGAAGACATTTTTTTTTCTCTCTCTTTCAGGGTGGTTTTTCTGACAAAGATGAAGGAGAATTAAGTGTGAGTTTAGATAACCTAATGAAATTTTAATAAATATGTATATTTTAATGTTTTGAGGCTTTACTTTCTGCTTCTTCAGCATTCCGAGCCTTTGGAGTTCATTGCTGCAGATATCATCCACCTCCACTTATCTCTCTGGTTGGTTTTCTCTTTCTAGTTGGTGACACCAAGTGTGTGTAGGATCATAGTCTGCTTGGTCTCATTTCAAAAAGGTTTTACTTTCACGAAGTTAAATTAGTAAATGTATCTGGTCTTTAAACATTAATTTACTGTGTACACTTTATTGCAAGATAATCTCTGTTCTTTTAGGTTTTAAGAGTGTCAAATCTCTCTTTTAGAGCTATGCTGATGTCTTTTTTTATTTTAGGTTTTAAAATGTAACATATTTATTTTAGATGTATGATGATGTCTCTGTCATTTTAGGTTTTAGAATTATCATATCTCTCTTTTGGAGCTTTGATGATCTCTCTATTAGTTTAGGTTTTTGAACTGTCGTATCTCTCTTTAAGAGCAGTGTTGTCTCAGTTATTGTGAATTGTAGAGCTGGGATGATGTCTCTCTCATTTCAGGTTTTAGAAATGTTGTATCTTTCTTTTAGAGCTGTAAGCTGTATTATTTTAGTTTTTAGAACTGTCGTTTCTCCCTTTCAGAGCTGTGATGGTGATGTCTCTATTATTTTAGGCTTTAGAACTGTCATATCTCCATTATAGAGCTTTGATGATGTCTCTGTTATTTAGGTTTTAGAACTGTCATATCTCTCTTTTAGAGTTATGATGATCTCTCTATTATGTAGGTTTTGGAACTGTAATGCCTCTCTATTTAGAGCTGTGGTGATGTCTCTGTTATGTAGTTTTTAGAACTGTCACCCCCTTCACCCCCTTTTTTTAGAGCTGTGTTGATGTCTCTGTTGTTTTAGCACTGTCATATTCCCTTTTTAGAGCTGTGTTGATGTCTCTGTTATGTAGTTTTTTGGAACTGTCACCCCCCACACCTTTTTTTAGAGCTATGTTGATGTCTCTGTTGTTTTAGCACTGTTATATCCTCTTTTTAGAGCTGTGGTGATGTCTCTGTTATGTAGTTTTTGGAACTGTCACCCCCCCCCCCCCCCCCCACCTCTTTTTTAGAGCTATGTTGATGTCTCTGTTGTTTTAGCACTGTCATATTCCCTTTTTAGAGTTGTGGTGATGTCTCTGTTATGTAGTTTTTTGGAACTGTCACCCCCCCCCCCCCCCCCCCCCCCCCACCACCCCTTTTTTTTTAGAGCTATGTTGATGTCTCTGTTGTTTTGGGACTGTCATATTCCCTTTTTAGAGCTGTGGTGATGACTCTATTTATGTAGCTTTGTGATGATAGGATGTCCCCCATTATTTCAACTTTTAAAACCGATGAACAGATGTTTCCATTAGTATTGTTCTTTGAACATAAAAAAAAAATTATGTTATTATAAATCTCTGCAGGATGATGACTGTGAAGAAGGTGAGATCAAGGAACCAGGCAGCAAGAAGCCCTTTATCAAACAGACCTGCCGGTTTTTCCAGAGAGGAAACTGTACCTGGGGGATCAACTGCAGGTTCATTCATCCAGGCATCAACGACAAAGGTATCTTTGCTTTCTTGTGTCCTACTTCTGGTCTTCTTGTTTAGTGAACAAGCAGAGCACAGTTAAAGTAAGTTATAATAAATTGCAACCTTATCTATCAGCTTACCTCAATTTCGCAACACCCAGATGTTCCAGCAATTTACAAATACAGTCTTTATTCCATTTATTTTTTCTTTATGAGTGTCAGACTTGAAGATCAACCAACGAATCTTGAGAGAAAACTGCATGTGAAATAAGATATTTGAACGGCTGCATACAAAACCAGAAAAGATCTTGTTAAAAATGAACCTGTTAGATGAACTGTTGGAACATTACAGAAAAGATTGTTTGAAAAATGAACCTGTTAGATGAACTGTTGGAACAGTACCCATCTTTATATTTACTGAGACACAAAGACTCGTCTTCCTCCCTTTTGCCAGCTGTAAACTCTGGTAGAAAGTTCTTGTAGTTTGTCCTGGACGTTGGTTTTGTTCCAGAACTAGAGTTTTTGTATACACATCAGTTTTACAGATCTGGATTTGATTAGAAGAAACAGGTAAAATGGTTTGGTCATGTGACGCGGATGTCAGCAGACGGTAAACCACAGCAGGCAATGATGTACGGACCACGCGGAAGGCGAAGAGGAGGCCAACCATGCAGACGATGGACATAGGGACTTACAGAGTCTCTGGGAATCCCCATTTATGAAGCACACAAAACGGGCTCTTTCCCATAAGTTATACTTCGCCCCAACACTGCAAAAGGATTGAGGTGAGATGATGAATCTTCTGGAAGTAAAGTTGTTTTCATTTTTGTCTTCTCCCTTACTCACCTAGTGAAGTATAGGTCTCACCCAGATTGCTCCGAGCTGTCCTTTGTATATTTGTGCAGTGAACAAGTAGAAGATTGTTTCTTTTGTTGTGAATATAACTTGTATATCTTGTTACAGGTAATTACCAGATGATTGAGATACCCGGTTTCAAACCAGTGGGTATCAGATCACGGTTAGGAATTCCCGGTTCTTGGCCAGAGGTGTGTACCCCCCAGTTGTCTGTACCCCCCAGTTGTCTGTACATTGTATGTATTTGCAGTCTGTGTTTTTCCTTTGTTGCTACTCACTTTATTTAAGGATGTCTTATCACTATCCTTTAACCCGGTTTGTCATTGACACACTTTTATTTCTTCATTTTCATCTGCATCATCATCAAGTGCCTTGCCAACCGGCATACAAGCTTCCCCACTGTCTGTGATCTCAAACAATTTACATGGGAACATCCCATGACATTTAAAAAGAAAGCTGTCAAGAATCTTCTAACAGTGTTTTCCTTTGTCTCTTTCCACAATTCTTCTTACTTGTGTCACATGATGTCCCAGTTGCTCTCTGATAACGTGGCCAAACAATTACTGTTTCCGATATTTACGATAAGTTCTATTTGGTCTCTCACCTCTTTCAAAATATTTAGGTTGCTCTTTTTGAATGTCACAAGAGTTTTAATAGTATTCTGAAGTATTCCACATCTCTGAAGCCTAGATAAATCTTTGGCTTTAAAAAAGTTTTTCTTTTTAAACTAGTTGTCCAGGATTCACAGCCATTTGTTAAAACTGACTCTGTATAGCAAGCCAGATTTCTTTTCTCTAACATAAAATAACATGGATTTATTGCATAACGTGTGCTTCATATTTAAAAGTATAGTTTGTGACTGGCCTATTCTGTTCTTATTCTGAATGATATGGCTTCCATCTGATGCTACCCAAGTTACTATTTAAACTTGTGCGAAGATAACAATGTTGGCTTTAATTGTGTATTTAGGCACAATTCTTTTCTTTGATTTTACTATTATTTTAGTTTTTCCATTACGCTACAACCCCTGTGTTTATCACTTTCTGTAGTTCTTGTTGTCTAATCACTATCAGGAAAGATTTATATTGGATCTAGATCTATATTAGTACCTTTTTTAGACCAAAATTGGTTTAACTGTATTTAGCGGCTGGCCCTGTTATATATTATTTCACCAGATTGGTAACCTGTTACATTATTCCACAAGATTGTTAACATTAACCTGCTACATTATTTCACAAGATTGTTAACATGAACCTGTTACATTATTCCACTAGATTGTTAACATTAACCTGTTACATTATTCCACTAGATTAACATTAACCTGTTACATCATTCCACTAGATTGTTAACATTACCCTGTTATATTATTTCACCGGATTGTTAACCTGTTTTAAAATGCAATAACTGTAAGTTTTTATTAAGTTTGGTTTTGTTGGTTTATATGGTACTGTTTTTGCAATCAGTTTATAAAAAAAACAACTAATTAGTTGCTTGTATTTTATATAGAACTGTTATAATTGTCTAATGAATGTGTTAAATTATTTCTAAATTCATTATAATTAGCAACCAGAGGAGCAAATAGATCTACCTCCACCACCTATACCTGATGTGCCACCTGTAGAGACAGCGTGGGAAAGAGGTCTCCGGATTGCTAAAGAGGTAAAAAAAAAAATTGTTTGGTTCTAAGAAGGTTTTTTATGATTTTTTTTCAGCTTCTGCTGCTTCTATTCAGTTCAAAATTATATAACAAAAATTTATTACCATGGAAATGCAATGTCTTAAAAAAAAGCTAAAGAGGTGACCAGAAGAGATAAAATCAGGAAGAAAGTCATTAGAGGACGAGTTGGCACAGAACCAGTTCTAAATAACCTAAAGACAGCTAGTAAAATGGTTTAGTCATTTAGAAAGAATGCCAAGCAAGGCATACAGGAAATAATAAGAGGGGAAAAAAGAACAATGTGGAAAGACAACATCAGAGAAACTCTACAGCATTGCAGTACCTCCATAGTCTTGATGGTCAGGAAAGTAAGAAACAGTACCTTATATCTCCCCCGATACCCACAACAATCAAAGAAGAAAATAAGAAGATGAGGGTAATTCAGTTTTTACGAGAATATGAAAAAAATACCCATCTGAGTAAACTTCACATCCTTACATAGTTCTCTATATGTGAAAATGTATCCACTATCATATTTTGTGTCTATATGAACATTTTAACATTTTACATATCAAAACATCTGTTGTTTGAAAATTTGATGTAACACACTGTTATTACACCTGCATTGCTTATGTAAACGTTTTAACACAGTACATCCACACATTTGCTATGTATTTGTGACAATAGACATTCACATGGATATCATGATTGTAACTCACAACACATGCTTTAAAAAATGAAGAGAAGACTGCTGTGTTGAGAATAATGAGCATTCTTTAGAGGTCCCCTGTGGTTAGTGTCATTTGAATCTTTTCTCCGGCCTTGCATGAATGCTAGGAATCAAATAGGCAGACTGATTGGCTGCACAACAAAGCTGGATGTGATCTGTGCGAAAACACAAATAGATTGTTACTGTGTGGAGAGAATGGTAGCTACAGGGAGTGACCAGGGGATCTGACCAACAATTGTTACTGTGTGGAGAGAATGGTAGCTGCAAGGAGTGACCAGGGGATCTAGCCAACAATTGTTACTGTGTGGAGAGAATGGTAGCTGCAGGGAGTGGCCAAGGGATCTGGCCAACAATTGTTACTGTGTGGAGAGAATGGTTGCTACAGGGAGTGACCAGGGGATCTGGCCTACAATTGTTACTGTGTGGAGAGAATGGTTGCTACAGGTAGTGACCAGGGGATCTAGCCAACAATTGTTACTGTGTGGAGAGAATGGTTGCTGCAAGGAGTGACCAGGGGATCTGGCCAACAATTGTTACTGTGTGGAGAGAATGGTTGCTGCAAGGAGTGACCAAGGGATCTGGCCAACAATTGTTACTGTGTGGAGAGAATGGTAGCTACAGGGAGTGACCAGGGGATCTAGCCAACAATTGTTACTGTGTGGAGAGAATGGTTGCTGCAAGGAGTGACCAAGGGATCTGGCCAACAATTGTTACTGTGTGGAGAGAATGGTAGCTACAGGGAGTGACCAGGGGATCTGGCCAACAATTGTTACTGTGTGGAGAGAATGGTAGCTGCATGGAGTGACCAGGGGATCTAGCCTACAATTGTTACTGTGTGGAGAGAATGGTTGCTACAGGGAGTGACCAAGGGATCTGGCCTACAATTGTTACTGTGTGGAGAGAATGGTTGCTACAGGTAGTGACCAGGGGATCTGGCCTACAATTGTTACTGTGTGGAGAGAATGGTAGCTGCAGGGAGTGACCAAGGGATCTGGCCTACAATTGTTACTGTGTGGAGAGAATGGTAGCTACAGGGAGTGACCAAGGGATCTGGCCTACAATTGTTACTATGTGGAGAGAATGGTAGCTGCAGGGAGTGACCAAGGGATCTGGCCTACAATTGTTACTGTGTGGTGAGAATGGTTGCTACAGGTAGTGACCAGGGGATCTGGCCAACAATTGTTACTGTGTGGAGAGAATGGTAGCTACAGGGAGTGACCAGGGGATCTGGCCAACAATTGTTACTGTGTGGAGAGAATGGTTGCTGCAAGGAGTGACCAAGGGATCTGGCCAACAATTGTTACTGTGTGGAGAGAATGGTTGCTGCAAGGAGTGACCAAGGGATCTGGCCTACAATTGTTACTGTGTGGAGAGAATGGTAGCTACAGGGAGTGACCAGGGGATCTGGCCTACAATTGTTACTGTGTGGAGAGAATGGTAGCTGCAAGGAGTGACCAGGGGATCTGGCCAACAATTGTTACTGTGTGGAGAGAATGGTAGCTACAGGGAGTGACCAGGGGATCTGGCCAACAATTGTTACTGTGTGGAGAGAATGGTTGCTACAGGGAGTGACCAAGGGATCTGGCCAACAATTGTTACTGTGTGTAGAGAATGGTAGCTACAGGGAGTGACCAGGGGATCTGGCCAACAATTGTTACTGTGTGGAGAGAATGGTTGCTGCAAGGAGTGACCAAGGGATCTGGCCAACAATTGTTACTGTGTGGAGAGAATGGTTGCTGCAAGGAGTGACCAAGGGATCTGGCCAACAATTGTTACTGTGTGGAGAGAATGGTAGCTACAGGGAGTGACCAGGGGATCTGGCCAACAATTGTTACTGTGTGGAGAGAATGGTAGCTGCAAGGAGTGACCAGGGGATCTGGCCAACAATTGTTACTGTGTGGAGAGAATGGTTGCTACAGGGAGTGACTAGGAGATCTGGCCTACAATTGTTACTGTGTGGAGAGAATGGTTGCTGCAAGGAGTGACCAGGGGATCTAGCCAACAATTGTTACTGTGTGGAGAGAATGGTAGCTACAGGGAGTGACCAGGAGATCTGGCCAACAATTGTTACTGTGTGGAGAGAATGGTAGCTGCAAAGAGTGACCAAGGGATCTGGCCTACAATTGTTACTATGTGGAGAGAATGGTAGCTGCAAGGAGTGACCAAGGGATCTGGCCAACAATTGTTACTGTGTGGAGAGAATGGTAGCTACAAGGAGTGACCAGGGGATCTGGCCAGCAATTGTTACTGTGTGGAGTGGAGAGAATGGTAGCTACAGGGAGTGACCAGGGGATCTGGCTAACAAATGTTACTGTGTGGAGAGAATGGTAGCTGCAAGGAGTGATCTAGGGATCTGGCCAACAATTGTTACTGTGTGGAGAGAATGGTAGCTACAGGGAGTGACCAGGGGATCTGGCCAACAATTGTTACTGTGTGGAGAGAATGGTAGCTACAGGGAGTGACCAGGGGATCTAGCCTACAATTGTTACTGTGTGGAGAGAATGGTAGCTACAGGGAGTGACCAGGGGATCTGGCCTACAATTGTTACTGTGTGGAGAGAATGGTAGCTACAAGGAGTGACCAGGGGATCTGGCCTACAATTGTTACTGTGCGGAGAGAATGGTTGCTACAGGGAGTGACCAGGGGATCTGGCCAACAATTGTTACTGTGTGGAGAGAATGGTTGCTACAGGGAGTGACCAGGGGATCTGGCCTACAATTGTTACTGTGTGGAGAGAATGGTTGCTTCAAGGAGTTACCAGTGGATCTGGCCTACAATTGTTACTGTGTGGAGAGAATGGTAGCTGCAAGGAGTGACCAGGGGATCTGGCCTACACTACACTGAGAGGAAAGGCTAGATGGATGTATAGTCAGATTGCTACTGACACCATCAGCATTAAAATTCTTTGCTGGCTGCTGAATATGAGGACGGAGCGCTTAATCTTATGGAAATATCCTGTTCTAAAATATATGTTTGTAACTTAGCTGAGCTATGTGAAAATGTTGGCAAAGCACATCCTTATTGTCTGTATGTCTACCATCTATATGTTAAAATGCTTGCAGAACACGTTTTTGTGTCTGCTGTCTATATGTGAAAATGTTAGAAAGCACATTCTTGTGTCCGCTATCTTCACGTGAAAATGTTAACAAAGCACATTCTTGCGTCTGCTGTCAATATGTGACAATTTTAATACAGCACATTACATTGACTGTAGTTCTTCAAAACTTCATATCCTCATATTTATCATGCAGTTTCAATTATTTGTTATTTCTAAACAAGACATATGAACTATGTACAGAAAACATAAACTTATTTCCTCAATTCTCCTATGGCAGCAACGGAAGAAAGCATCCGAAAGAAAAGAACAAGAGGCTGATTTTGAAGACAAGCGATTAAATTTGTCGGTGGATGAAGAACGAGAACTGAACAAGGAGAACGAACGCATGCCAAAAATCATTCCAAAAGATCCATATTATGATCAGTATGGGTAAGTTTGCTTCATTTGTTTGTTGCTTCTTCCCTACTTTTTCACCTTTTTAAAGGGTGGTTTGCGTTGTTTACAGCTAGTCTGTGATATCTACACCTTTCGACTAAACACGTCCTATCTCAAATCCTTCATCAATCATCTGCTTGTTAAGGAATAGAGGTCTGTTATGTTTTCCAATGATTGGGTCCCTAGCACCAACATAGGGAATCCACCACCACGTAGATCTCTGGATGTTGCTGCCATGGACTTGGTGTATTAGATTTTCGATAATGAGTTTTTTCATTTTTTTTTTATTTTGTTAGATGGTAACAGTGGGCAGATGATATACTAAAGTGCATTGTTACACTTAGAAATGAATTTTTTTTTCTTTTTTTAAATATTCAGAAACCATGAGTTGTTAACCCTTTGGCTCGGTACTGTGGATATCGCAACCCTTCGGCCTTGATTCCATGATAGCTACCGTAAATCTGCGAGAAATGTGGCTTTTCTGCCTACCTCTGGTAGTGAACCCGGACCACAAGGAGTTTGTCACCCGGTAACCGCTTAGTCAGGCTTAGCCAACTACGCAAGAGAGCCGGGTCAGAAATGATGCAATGCAGTACTTTACTCCTTTGAGAAATATTACAAGAGGGTAACTGTTGACAGTGAGAGTGAAGTAGGAGCATAAGAGCATCCTAGGACCAATTCTTGAGCAAAAGCAGTTGCTTGATGTAATCCAGTGACAACACAAGGATGTAGGCAGCACTTTTCTTCCAGGATGACATATTTAAGACAGTTGCTGACGCGGAGTGGGTGACCTGTCCTTGATTTGTAAAATGACCATGAAAAAAATATCACATCAAGGGAGAAAAGATGTGGCCAGCTTCACATTTTCACAATCACATGCTGTAGATGAGTGTTGCTGTAAGAAGGTCTTCATCAGTAAATGACGTAAATAGACAGTTTTGCAATTACAATCTAGAATCACTGGAAAATATCCGAGAAATTAAAAATCGGGCCCTCCGGAGCAGAGCTTTGATCTATAACAAAAATCTCTTAATACATTTGTACAGTAACAGGATTTCACTGCGGGCTTGGGGTAAAAATGACAATACAATCCTTTAAAAGTGAATAATACATACTTTTTGTAATCATTTTTACAAAACAATCACACACAAAAACTTCAGTATAAGAGTAGTGATATACAGAAATGTATTGTAACACTATAAACCTACATTACTTTAAAATAATCTGTGATCTAATTCCTTGTCTTTGAAGTTTTTATTTGTTGATACTCACACATTTTGTTTAAGACAGTGACGTATAATAGAAGCTGGCGGTTAATTGAGTGACGGTTAATGGAAGTTTTACTGTACTTTGTTTTTAGCGTGGAGGAAGATAACTATTACCACACAGCCAGGGACCCATGGCAGACTGGTCGGTACGAAAACTTTGAAGTGCGCTACAACACAGATCACGCTTACTCTCCTCCGTATCGGGTTAGTCCACTTGTCAATTCATGTTCGGGTGTTTATCATACTGCCTTACTTTTACTCAGTCGATGAGAAAACAATGCCACAGAAAAAATGCTCATAATACTGGACCGACCAAGAAGAAGACTAACACTGACAGCCTACGTGATCAGAACATCCAGAAGAATGGGCTCCCAAATAGCATCTTATTTTGAAAGCTGAGGTATTTTGGCCATGCTAAACATCATACTGGCCTGGGAGAGACAGGGTTTGTAGTGGATCTTGATGCCGGAAAAAAGTCGGGGAAATGCAAGATCACTCTCAAGGTCTGGAAAAAAAAAAAGCTGAACTTTTACCCACCAATCCTGGAACTTTGTACACCAGAGATCATTGATGGAGGGTAAAGTTTCCAGACAGAGGTAGACCTCTGTGAGGATGGATATAAGACATTAAAGGTTAAGGTTAAAGTGGAGAGAATAAACTTTGTTGCACCGTGTTTTATTCCATATGACTCGATTTATCTCCGCAGAATGTCTAGCCGCCTGGCCAAAGCATCGCACAAAGCACAAACTCTATAGCTCGAGCTGTGATCCTCAGGAATCTCTGTAAAAACTGCACTCGTAAACTGAACGGAGCAGCCGCGAAATGAACCCACGACCTTTGGAGCATGAGGCAAACAGCTTGACAACTTTGCCAAAGATGCATAAGCCATAAAAAGACATAAAGCTGGATAATTGTCTAGAGAAAGAGGACTTTTGAGCGTGCCGTCACAAGGGTGAGGTTCTGCACAAACAAAAACTACTGATTGATGATGTGCAGCCTGTTTTGTCGAATGTTTGTTTTGTTATTTATTTTGGGTTTCTCAGGGTTTTTGGAGCTAATTATTGAACATTTATTTGAAATACAGGAGAAGCCTCCAATAATGCCACTGCCGCCACCACCAGCTCGGTTTGGGCATCCATACAGTCCTCAGGCAGACAAGTAAGTCCTTGATGTATGTCATATATATGTCTTCTCCCCTTCCCCCACTTTTTTCTGTCTCCCTTCTTTTTTCATATTTTATGTTTCAGTTTCTCGCACTTATCCTAGTGGCGAATATGATACCACAACATCCAGCTTAAGAATGGAGGTGGAGGTAGTCGCTGCAGCTTTCTGCTGGTTAGAGAACATGTCACACACACATACATCGTGATTGTAACTGACCCAGACAGCATGTTGAGGAAGATAAGGACAGGCATGCTTCGCTGCGGAGGACAGGGCTGAGGAGTATTGTCTGGATTTTTTTGGTGTGTTGGGAAATGAACAGGCGGACAGACTGGCTGGCTCTGCACAACTTGGTGGAATACTGATACATGACAAGGCAGATGTGGTAAGTGTCTTGTGGGAGAGCGTGTACAGTTCAGAGAAGCAGATGGATCACCACAGCAAATGCTCGAGGCTCAGAGGAAAGGCAAGACGGACGTTTAATCAGAATGCTACTGGCACTATTATTATCGGAACTCTTCGCTGGCTACTGAAGATGGGGACGGAGCGCTTAGGGTAATGCCTCTAGTGCTGTGATGTCGGTTGTTGAATCAGATCAGTTCCTGGTGGCGAGTTCACCTCTTTTTCTGTCATCTGCATACCCAGTTCACTTACACCTCACGCTTTTCTGCCTCTTTCCCCCACCATGTCTCCCCTATCTTTTTTCATTCTGTATGCTTTTATGTCCTGTGTTGGCAGTTCCCCTTTCTCCCACCTCTCATTTTATATACCCACCCAGACATCTTTCTGATTAATTCTGATGATTTGCATATTAGTCTCATTTAGTTTTATTGGTTGACTTGTACATATAATTTGTTTCTTTCCTAGCAGTTGACTAAATTAAAAATTAAAAGCAGAAGGCACAGTACCAGGAAAGAGGAGCAGGAGCTGACCAGCAGCACAAAGATGGGCACAGGATATAAATAACACTTTGCACGAGGCCGGAGAGCTGGTGATAGACCAAGTTTATTTCAGGCAGACCGTGGTGAGAATGGCCTTCTACAAAGGATCTGATGCCTAATGATGAGCACTTGACTTCGTGGAGATGTTTGCAAGCATGGCTGTTGTTACTGTTTTGTATGATGTATCTTTCTGTTTGTGGTCTAGGTTTGGTCGTGATCGAGTTGAGAGAAGGGAACCTTTGAGGCCTGAAGGTCCTCCTCCATCACTTGAATACCCCACAGCCAAAAAAAGACCAGATGAGTGGACAGATCCGTGGAGGAGGCAAGTACAGTTATCAAAACTGAAATTCTGTTGAATGTCTTCTTAGGTTTGAGGTTTTTGAACAACAGATCAACATCATGGCACTTGGATGTAACCCATAAGTGCTCCGTTCTTCTTCTAACTCAAGTCTGTCCGAAGAAGCTCAGCACAGCAAGCACTGACAAAATCCTGAAATACTTTAGGTACATTTTTAACTCAAAATTTTGCCCGGGCACCGATCTTAGGCTACTCTTTTCGATTTCCAACTGCTGAAGTTTTTTTTTTTTTACATGGGGGATTACTAGGAGTCCAAATCCACATGAAGAAATCCCAGCCCTTACTGGGGATTGAACCCAGAACCTCTAGCACTCGAGGCGAACACCACACCGTGAGACCATGCAGCATCCTGTATGTCTTTTTAATGTTTGCTGGCTGTAAACTCCAGCGGTAAATTTTAGTTGTTCGTCCACTTCTGGACTTTGTCCTGTCTCAGAACTTTAGTTTTATATGCACATCTGTTTTACAGATCTGGCTTCTTTGTATGCATGTAAACTGTTGGTCTCTAGCCACTCAGGCAGATGTTCTCCGATTTTGATGGAAACAACTCTAATTAGTTGTCTTGTACAACATACTTGTTAGGGGAACAGTGCCTATAGTTCAATGCTGTGGAAAAACGTGACCTGTGTCTCATGGCACATGAATTGTAAGAAGACCATCCTTCTGTCACTGAGAATCAATTCTTGCTGATTCCAGTAGTGCCACAATCGGGTTGATTGGGCCATGCCAGAATAGACGAAAAGACCCATTGAAAGGAGTAATTTACAGCCTGATGTCCCTAAGTAAACTTGGTGAAACTTTTTAATGTAAACAAAACTTGCTTATACAACCAACTTGATCAAAGAGGTACAAATGCTTATTTAAAAGCAAACCAACTTAATCAATAAATAAAAAAATAAAATCAGTCAGTTTTAAAAATTGAAAGTTTATTAATTAAAAAAAAAAATTTGACGGAAAACATTGTCAGTTTTGCCAAATTAACTTTTAATCTATTTTATAGAAACATAAATCTACATAAATATCTATTTAAAGGTCAAAATCTCCAAAGAGTCAGAAACCTAAAGTACGCAGTCGGTCAAGAGGCAGGCGGACGCGTCGATCTGTCAGTGACTCTTCAAATTCCTCAAGGTAAGTTGAAACAAATCCTCGCTGCGCTGGCAAGTGTTTGTTGACAACCTGCAGTGGTTCTGTTTCATTACATTGTTCTTCTTTTCTAGAGCACAGATGTTGTCTGCATAGACCAGAAAGTTTCAGATGCTCTTGTCTATCTCTCTCACTCCCAAGGAGCTCACAGTACCTTAATTGTTCCCTTTATCAAGGTACAGATCTTTTGACTATTTCTGTCCTGTTCTGGTTATGTTTACCCACTTTGTCTCAGTTTTTGCTATTATATTTTTTATGTCTTTAAACTGTATTTTCTTATTCCATAATATTGCAAAATGGTAGCTCTAAGTTAAAACAAATTTTTATGTGTTAAAATAACAAATGATCAAGACTGAAAAACTGCTAGTTTTTCAGGAAATTTGTGGGCTTTAAAAAAAATTTGTTTTTTGCTGGTATCAAAGTCCTGGTTTGAATTTATAAAAGAGGAGGAGGTTTGTATGTGTCGCTGAGAGTTTTTGTATCCCCAGAACCTTGAGCTACTCATTTGTCACAGTCCTCTGCAGTCCGCCTCGTGTAAAAAGTAAATAAACGTGGTCCCATAGAGATTGCTACCATTGTGTGTAAAGTGTTTGACCTTTATGTCTTCTTGGCTATTGCATACAGGGAACAATGAGCCACTTTCCCCTTCTTGTTGCCGATTCTTCCTGAAAAATTCTGAATTTGTTTGGAACCCTTTAACGTGACCCAGAAATTGCTATTGTTGTGTCCTGATGTGTTTAGTCGTTTGCCTTTCTAATTTGGTTTCTCACAGGACTTGTACATTGCTCCTGGAAGAAACGTCTCTGTGTCTTCAAGTTTTTTTCACTCTTAATTTTTCATTGTCTGTGGTCGGCTGGCACACAGCAGCATGGGCATTTACCCTGTAGCCCTGAGACACTTAAATTTAGTTACTTCCGGTTGTGACATATTCCGCACATCATCATTCCTGCAGTGACCTTTTCCCGAAAAATGTAGTTGAATATCATTAGTGGTTAGTAAGAATTATCATTGCAGCGCTTCGGACAAATCCATGGGTGCACTGATCTCCTAAGAAGCTCCGTGAGGATCCTTTTCCTCTGTAGTTAAAGTGCAAAGTTTCTGTCTTAATCTCTGCAGTATTCACAAGACCTGTCCGAATATGATAATAAGTGATTCCGGAGGATTATCATCACAGCACTATAAATGAAGTTTGTTCTGTGTTGTTCTACGTCTTGTCCTGTCGGTGAATTGTTCATTTGTTTGCAGTTTGATGTTACACCTCTGCGACCATCCTAATATGAGGATATTTATTAAAATTAGCATTTAGGGGTTTCTTGTGAACCAGATATTTTAAAAAGCCTATGTGACTTCAAATTTTCCCGTAGCCTCAGTGATTGAGGTTGTGGTGTTATGGTACTAGTCACCATAATTTTATCTATTTTTTAGACCTAGGGAAATGTATCCCATTGAATACTTTACTGAGTTTTTATTTTACTAGCTTTAAATGTCTGTGTGTACATAGGGAGCTGCCATACTGTAGCCTCCACTCACTCACCTGCAGATCGGGAGGTTGTGCATTCAGGACTTGTTTCTTCAGAAATGACCTTGGCCCCCTCCACGTCACTCAGCCTTAAATGAGTGCAAAGTCCTGGGAAGTAAAGGTGGCCGGTGTGATGTTGATTACATCACCCACCAATGCTGATTGGTTTATAAAATATATGTCTAGCCCTATATGCCCAGTGTGACAGAAGGTAAAGAAAAGGGTTCTTTAAATTTTTTTTTGTTTACTTAGCCCCTCCGCCACACACACACTCTCTCTGTCTCACACACGTGCACACACACACACACTGGTCACACACGCATGCACTCACTAAGTTTTTAAAAAAGGCTGATAAATACTTTAATAACAAAACAAAAAAAAATTACCAGTGACCTTTTTAAATTATCTGTTTTTTTATAATTTAAAAAAAAAAAAAGGTTTTTTGGTTAATTCTCATGGATTCAAGGCACAGTGTTTTATTGGGGCTACCTTTTCTTTGGGGTTAACAAAGCAGGCTGAGGGAGAGATAATGTTGCATGGCTTTCTGCTGTAGATAGGAGGAACTTTATCTCTAGCCTTTATAGGCTGTGATTCTGTGCTATTCTGAAGCTCAGGTACTGACTTTCTGAAAGGTGGGAAAGTACCAACTACAGTTCAGGTGTCACCAGAATAGTTCAGATGTCACTAGAATAAAAACTGACTATCTGAGAGATATTTTATTTACAGTGGATCTGATCATGTGACTAATATAACCATTGCAGGTCCAGCTCTGGGTCATCGTCGGGCTCATCCAGAAGCAGCCGATCTTTCAACAGTTCAACAGGCAGCTCAAGGTATGCTTCGTTTGTTAATAATAAAAAAATATATAATTTTTAAAAATATACAATTAGGCAAACTGGTCATGCCTCTTAGTACGCATGTTCTTGTAGCGAGGTGCTTTTATCATATGGAGGTCTGATTTCCGGCTTGGATTTTGATTTTCTTGTTGTCTAGTATGTTTTTTTGTCTTTTTACGTCTTTCTGTAAGTGCCTATCAATACATGTCTATTGTTTAGTGTACACACAGTTTCTGCTGCCTTGGTTGTTCCCCATCTGTTTATTTCCTGTGTGAAACATTTGAGGGAAAGTATAAAAATGTATGTGGTAGCTGTAAAAGCGTTTGCTTCTCTTGTAGAACATTTGAGTAAAAGAATGATTTGTGTCTGTGTGCGTCTGTAGAATAACAGAAGCAATCCTGTATACAGTAGTTCATGACAGATGTTTGAGCCTTGTTTCAGGTTACTGTAATACTCTAATATCATGGAAGCATATAAAACTGAAAAAAAATTAGATCAGCGAGATTTACAGTGAATCAAACACAAACAAAATGTGAACACTGCCGCTAAATAACCTTCATCAGCACATAAATCAAACCACACATATACACGAAATCGCTTAACTCGGTGTCCAGAAGCAGCTACAGTGATGTCTCGCCAGTGGAATGAGAAGAAAACTTGAATTAGCCATGGAATGCCAAGAGTCGTAACTTGAGAATTTTTATATGAAACTGTGTTGACAGTTCAGTCCCTAAGTGTGCCCAAAGTGAAAATGAAGCGATTTTCAAGAATCTTGCAGTCTCTATTGCTAGAGTGGCTAGATTTAATGGCTGTCACCTCCATGTCGTGGACATCTTGGTGATCATGGGAATTAAAGTGCAACGGTACTAGTTTCAGGGCACCATACTGCACATCCAAAGGATGTTATCCAAACCTGTCAGCCAGTCGTAGACCTGTTTCAGCGATGTATTTCAAGCCCAATCTCTTGCAGTAGATGGCGTAAATGACATTGCAGCTTGTGCAAAAGAATGCTTCATGTATGTGAAAGGTTGCATTGTGAAATTTCAGACTAGTACCCTGAACCACATACAGGGCAAGTCCTGCATACAGGGCAAGTCCTGCATACAGGGCAAGTCCTGCATACAGGGCAAGTCCTGCATACAGGTCTATGGCAAGAGACTGCTGAAGTGGGGCTCAGATGCAGGAAGTAACCGACTCTTGGCTAGAATGTCATTGAGGTTGCACAGATGTCTGTCGGCCACTGGAGGAAGTTCAGAGACAATCGTGCTGGTGGCAGGGTCAGTCCTAAGGATGGAGAGAAGCCTGAGGAGAATATTTTTGGCGCGGGTGTTTTGAAGGTGATAGGAAAGTATAAGGATAGGTCTGTTGTGGTGATTTTGAGGCTAGGAAACCAGGGCATCGGCACGATGGGTAGACCGTGCTCGATGAAAAGCAGCAGATACCACATGTTCAGGATACCCCCGAAGCCAGAAGAAGTCGAGCATTTCTAGGGCCTTGTGGTGAAAGTCGTTGTTCTCCTGGCATAGTCTGCAGACTCATAGAAACTGGGAGAAAAGTATGGAGTCCTTGCAGAAAGAGGGATGGGAGGAGGTGTAGAGAAGAAAAGCATGGGAATCAGTAAGCTTATAATATACCGAGGTGCTGAGGCCTTTAGATTCTTTGGTGATAGTGAGATCCAGGAATGCACCAAGGATGGTGGAATGCTGGAAGCACATCGGATGCTGGGATGAAAGTTGGCGAAAAAATGAAGTCATATAATACTCTAAGTTGAACTGATAATGTGAGAAAGAGCTATTCTGCGGATAGATCTGGCAATACAATGAAACAGAAATCATTGAGATCATTTGGAGAAAGAAAATAATGTGCTTGTGCGAGGTTGAGGTGTAGTATTATCACCAAATTTGCTAATGTTACTCCCCCACGTGGCATGCCAGTTATGTGTCAGATTGTGACATACAAGTTATGTGTCAGATTATGTCATGTGACATACAAGTTATGTGTCAGATTGTATCATGTAACATACCAGTTATGTGTCAGATTGTATCATTTAACATACCAGTTATGTGTCAGATTGTATCATTTAACATACCAGTTATGTGTCGGATTGTATCATGTAACATACCAGTCGGATTGTATCATGTAACATACAAGTTATGTGTCAGATTATGTCATGTGGCATGCCAGTTATTTGTCAGATTGTATCATTTAACATACCAGTTATGTGTCAGATTGTATCATTTAACATACCAGTTATGTGTCAGATTGTATCATTTAACATGCCAGTTATGTGTCAGATTGTATTGAGATGTGTTCATCTGTGCAGTGTGCCAGGTTTTAAGATATGCCATTCTTGGCGTTGTGCCAGATTGTATCATTTAGCATAACAATTTACGAATGCTGTTCTTCCCCACCTGAACAGACTGTTGAAGGCAAATCACTGCAGAATAATCACCATTGTCCCTCAGAAATGGTAGAGTTGGGAAATGGAGTGTTAAATTTATTATGTTTGCGGTTATATTGTTTTTGTTGCACATTGATGGTGCAGTGAGTTGCTTTTGTGTTCCATAAATTGTGCCGTACTAGTTGATCTGATGTACATTAGGATTTTTAGTGCAATATTCTGGAATCAGGTGTAGACCTACCTAATAAATAAATTGTATACCCGTGATGTAAGTCAACCTGTAGTTGTGATTTTTTTTTTTATGTTTGAAAACTCAACTTATGCGCCACAATTTACAGTTGCATTTGTTCGACAATTTTGCTGTATTACTAATTTGATTGTTTTGCAACAACAACAAAAATTACATTTCAAAAAGTTTTGCATAGTCCAGAAGTTAGATTTTCCTGATAAGTAATGAATATATACTGTCGCCATCTGTGGCTTTGAGGGGGGGGGGGGGGAAATATACGTGTGTGTGTATATGTATAATATAGGATATGTAGATTTTTTTTTAATGCTTGATATACGTGTTCATGAAAACAAAATTTTTTTTATTGTTTCATAGTTTGAAAAAGATATTTAATTTAGAATTAAACTGAAAATAAAAAATTATTAGAGTGACTGATTTTTTTTAAGTACAAATGAAATTTCAAAATTGCTTAAAAAGAAAAAACCTCCCCCAACCCTCTTTAAACTTCCTTGCCCCTTTCCCCTAAGTGTGAAAACCACTGTTATAGAGAGAGACTAACCACCATTTAATAGTATTTTAACCTCAAAACATTTTGTTTTCTCCATTTCAGTAGGTCACGTTCTCCAGAGCCAGTACCGCCCGTTGCTGAGAAGCATGACCGATACATTTCCCCATCTCGGTAAGTGCATCAGGTGGATGACAGTTAAGAATACTGAAATGTTACATATTTAGCATATCTGTATTCTTCTTCTTCTTCTTCTTCTTCTTCTTCTTCTTCTTCTTCTTCTTCTTCTTCTTCTTCTTCTTCTTCTTCTTCTTCTTCTTCTTCTTCTTCTTCTTCACCACCTTCTTCTTGTTCTTCTTCTTCACCTTCTTCTTCACCTTCTTCTTCACCTTCTTCTTCACCTTCTTCTTGTTCTTCTCTTTCTTCTTCTTCTTCTTCTTCTTTTTCTTCTTCTTCTTCTTCTTCTTCTTCTGCTTTTTCTTCGTCTTCTTCTTCTTCTTCTTCTTCTTCTTCTTCTTCTTCTTCTTCTTCTTCTTCTTCTTCTTCTTCTTCTTCTCTTTCTTCTTCTTCTTCTTCATTTTCTTCTTCTTCTTCTTCTTTTTCTTCTGCGTGTTTTTCTCCTTCTCCTACTTTTCTAATCCTGTTCCGCCTTTCAGCATCAGGGTGTGAACTGACATCGTGTGCGAGCCTTGGTATGTGTTACATAGATGCTGGTATTTACGGCCTCACATTTTCCATCTATCCATCGCTTGCGTGGTCGGCCTCTGGATTTTGCTTTCATTATGTCTGACAGGGCTCTCTCTCTGTGGTACACTGCCTGGTGGTAGTTTTGACAATATCCAAGTTATCTGATCTGTTGTCTGGAACATTCCTATGGGGTTTTACTTATCTGGACTTGGAGAACATTACCCTATAAACAATGTCATATTTCTAAAACAAATACTTTTTGCAAGTGGAATGTCGAAATGGTTTAAACAAGAACATAAATGGACTTCTGGTTTCTAGAACTAATGTACTTTTTTTCACAGGGCCACAAATTGGGCACATAGGTGTGTCTTACATTTTGGCACCTTCCAGCCACTCATTTTTCATATACCAGTTATATTTATAAAAGTTCAAGGTTAAAGTCGAGAAGATCAACTTCATTGCACTGGATTTTATCCAGTATGGCTCGATATCTCTTCAGAACGGCTAGCTGCCTGCCGAGAGCATCACACAGAGCACGAAGTCCATAACTCCGGCAATGATCCCCAGGGATTTCCGTAAAAATTGCACTCGTTAACTGGAGGGCGCAGTCGTGGAGTCAACCCACGACCTTCAAAGCGCGAGGCAAACGGCTTAACCTCATCTCCACGGAGACCTCTCCAGTCATATGTATAATGCAGTTTAGGTTTAAATATCACAATTATGATCAAGTGCCTCGCAGACTGGCATGGGCAGTCATGCCTCTCCACAATCTGGGATCTTCAACAGCATGTTTCACTTCATGTGCTATCACCCCTCCATCTCATGGCAAAATGGAATGTAAATAAACTTCTCATGTTGTCTGCCTCTATCCCTTTTCCCCCAGGTCATGTTGTTTCTCGGTGTCCTTCTCATAACACGACCAAAACATGATGACTCTCTCTCTCTCTCTTTCAGATGTTGGTGATATGTTGTTTTCTAATGCTTGCCTCTTTTAAACATTTGGATTGCTCTGTTTGGCTGTCCAGTGAATTCTAAGAAATTCTCTGTAAAACTACATTTTTGAGGCCTCAAGAAATTGGTTCTTTTATTTTTTGTCTAGGATTCACAGCCATATGGTAAAACTGGCTCTATTTAGCTTTTTTTTTTTTTTTTGGTCGTCTGTCGGTCAAAATACAGATCTCAACCTGAACAGTTTGTGTCACTGCTCTGGCAAGATAGTAAAGACTGTTATTCTTTTAAGACAGTAATGCCCGTTTTATTATTATTCTACAGCAAAGACAGTTGTTTTTAAGGCAGTAAAGAGGTTAAATTTTTTAAGACATAGAGACATTTTTTTTAAACACTAAAGACAGTTGTTTTTGTTTTTAATAAAGATTTTTTTTTAAAAGACAGTACTTACCTACCTACACCCATGAATGTAAACATACACATGTATGGAAGAGGAGCCAGGAGTCGGCTGACACTGCACTGAGCACAGAGAATCAGAACACCTTTAATATGAACCTGCACGAGCCAGGACACAGGCTGTCTTCAGTTACATGCACATTTTTACTGTAAATATACACATGATGTTGAGTATTTCGGTACACCATTTGATGTGGGTGTTCAAGGCAATGAGCCTGTAGATTACCATGCAGATGCTATTTGCTATGGCCGGTCCGGTACTGGACAGAAGTGATGTTATCAACGCCATGCGCAGCACTTACAGTGAAGACAGATGACTCCGTATCCCCTTTCAGGCTGATAAATGTGGGTGTGCGTCCTGAAGCTGCAAGAAGTGAACATTTCATCAATGGGACAAGATGTTTGATTAATCAACATAGAACAAGGTCATCAGGTTTACACCTGTGGAGCTTTTGAGGCGGAGCTTTTGAGGAGATTTGAACACCTATAGATCTGTCCAATGCTGTGATGAGAATCGTTACTAATTATTAATTACTACTGTTTCAGGGAGCCGCCGAGAAGCACTGTCTCCATCCGTGGATCTGGAAACTACAACCACTATGATCAGGGTTACCGTCGTGGTGGGCGCATGTACGATCATAACCGAGGCCCCAATAACTACAACCAGCGAGGAGGAGGAGGAGGCAACCGTGGTGGAGGGGGCGGGCCATACAACAACTATGGACCTATGGGAGGTTATCCACCTCGAGATATGCGGGACAGGGAGAGACCCAGAGATGACAGGATTGCCAGGAACAACCGAGGTCGCTCACCGCCAGATCGGCCATTACCATATGTTAGGTAGGTGTTGTGTTGGGTGATTTATTCTGTTGCTTAGTCTGTTGATATTACACTTAATATTTCCTGAGGTAAATTCACGCCCCCCCCCCCCCCCCCCCATGTTGACCAAAAAAAAAGAGTAGATCCGCTGCCCCCTAAGAACATGTAGTACAAACAGCTAATTGGGGGTATTACTTTGTCAGAGTGCACCTGCCTGAGAGGTTATAAACCAACAGTCTGCATGTCAGAAAGATCTGTGAAACAAATGTTCGCATAAAGCAATTCTGGAAAAATAACTAAAGTCCAGAAGTGGATGAAAAATCAAAGCTTTCGGCCAGAATTTATAGCCTGTAAATTATTCAAATATGCAGTTGAAAGTTTAATTTCATCTCAGTGACAAGAGTTAGTTGAGGAAAGATGGAAAGAGTACGGCGCAGGAATGTGCAAAGTTTTAACTGAGAATCTCAAAATAAGAAAAAGAACCTTTATTGGAGATGGTACTCTCTCTCTCTATGTGGGTTCCTCGGTCACATGGAGGGAGGAGACACTCGGACGGTTCTTCTTCAGTTCCTATTGTTTTCACTATAAGCTTGTGGTATCCAGCTGTAATCTCGGGTCCTCTTTGCTTCTATGCCTCAATCCTCATACCTTCTCTATTGTCCCCACCCCCCCCCCCTTCCTTTGGGGGGCACAGAATGGTGTCAGCACACAAACGGATACTTTGAGAGACCAGATTCTAGATGAAGATTTCTTTTTCTATGTTCACTTTTAAAAGAGTGGTTGACACATTGTGTTGTGGTTTACAGCCAGGCTGTAATATGTTTACCTTTCAACCCAACCATCTGCTTTCAGTAAATCCTTAATTGATTTGCTTTTACTGCATATTTGTTAGGGGGCAGTGGTAAACCCCCCCCCTTCTGCACACACACACACACACCCAATGGGCCCCCAAACCCTCATCGGAAGACAAATGTTTGATTGCAGAATTTTTTTTTTTGCCTTCGTCTATAACAATGACAAGTAAGTTATATATCTTCTTCCTCTTCTACACATGCTCTGATTGTAAACTGATGACAGATTCTGCTTATTCCTCCATTAATGTACTTAATGATTGTTCCAGGACTGGAACTTTGCGGGCACAATCATTTTAAACATCTGGCTTGTGTGTCTGCAAGACTATTGGTTCCTTACTTTTCAGGCAGATGCACTCTACAGATGCACTCTACTTTGAAGGAAACATCCCTGATTAGTTGCCTTTTACTACGTGCGTGTCATGGGTCTGCAACCCCCCACTCCCCCCACCAGTGGTATCCCAGAACCCATATGATGAAGAATGAGATATGATTTTACCCCCTTGCCTATGACAGAATAGAAATGAGAATGAGAAAGCAACTGAAGTATGTTGTTTATGACTTGTCTAAAATAAGTCTTGCTGTTGTGTACACACACATATAAGGGTGCCAGTTGAGCACATTCCAGCACATTCAGTTAATATTTAGTTGTAGATAATGTTATATTATGCAACCTATTAGACTTACATTACTGGATTACATTTATTACTATACTAATAGTTTTAATATTAAACTCTGAAATGTAAGAGCACAACCCAATATTTGTAACTAAGACTAAGTTATGAAATTGTCATTATTTTTATTATTACCTATGACATGATGTGTGAATGCAAGAAATGGGACCAGAGGGGCAGAATGTCGGGTGGACCTGTGTGCCCTATCCTATTCTTAACCAGTTGAAAATAAATTTTTTGTATTTGCTTATATACATAGGCCAAGACCAAAGAGTGTCAGCAGCCATTCATCCTCGAGCAGATCCCGCTCCTGGAGCCGCGGCCGAGCCACATCGTCACGCTCCAGGTCCAGATCCAGCTCTGCAAGCTCCCGGTCCAGCAGTTCTTCAAGTTCTTCAGCAGGAAGTGCCGATTCTGAACATTTGTACAGAGATTTGGCCAGTCCATCCAAGAATCCCAGGGCACCAGCAGCACAGAAAAGGAAAAGAAGTGAGTTTATGTCTTAGTGCCCAATTATGTGTGTCTGACATTTGGCAGTCATTCCCCTACCAGGTGCTAGTGACGTCTTGACTCTAGAGAAAAAGGTCATGGATGACATAAATATTACATTTTGTGTTTATTCATCATTGTCCTGTTACACAGTTATATAACACATAGGGCTGGCTGTCTATTCTTCTACTACATTCCATCCTATGCAATCACTTTGAAATCATGGATGGAATCCAGTTGATCACCTTTGGTCTTTCTCATCCACGTTTGTTTTAGGGTTTCTTTTGGGTGTCTTCGCTTTCTCAATCCCTTTATTTCACTATTTTAGTTCCTGTTTGATTTTCTGCTAATTTCTTTTCAGGATGTGTACACTATTGCGCCATCTTCTCTGTCTTATAACTGTTGTTATCGGTGGTTGCCCAGCCATCTTCTCTGTCTTATAACTGTTGTTATCGGTGGTTGCCCAGCCATCTTCTCTGTCTTATAACTGTTGTTATCGGTGGTTGCCCAGCCATCTTCTCTGTCTTATAACTGTTGTTATCGGTGGTTGCCCAGCCATCTTCTCTGTCTTATAACTGTTGTTATCGGTGGTTGCCCAGCCATCTTCTCTGTCTTATAACTGTTGTTATTGGTGGCTGCCCAGCCATCTTCTCTGTCTTATAACTGTTGTTATCGGTGGTTACCCAGACATTTCTATAATTTCTTCACTCCTGTTGAATTCGCCACATTTTATGTTCAACATGAATAGTATTTATTGCAATCCCTTTATAGCTGCCACTTGAATTGACAGTCATTACAGCTTATGGCTTCTTCATCACTGTCAGAATAGTTTTTTTTTTTCCCTCCCAATGTTTTTGAAAAGGAAAGATTTGATGAAGACAAATCTGAAAAAAAAGGAACTGGTGTGGAAGAATATAATTATTCAGATCCACTCAAAAACAGCCCTAGCCTTTTAACATTCTCCTCTTGCAGGTTCGGAAGCCCCACTTTTTTTTGGGAGAAAAAATAAACCCACTGCCTCCCTAACAAGTACGTCTACAAAGTGACTAATTAGGGATGTTTCGGTTTTGTTTGTTTTTCCCCCCAGGGTTGAAAAAAAAAGTCCAGATTCTGTTCACTCCCATCTGAATCTTTCTCTCCAGGTATAGATACTCTCTCTCACTTGCTGCACAGTTGACTTGATTCCAGGAAGCCTTCACCACATCTGCCTTATCATATAAAGTAGCTCAATGCACAGAGGGGTGGCAGTAGCTGGTCTGTTAGCCTGCTTAAAACCATGCACTCGGAATTTACTGGACGGAAAAAATATGCAGTATTCTTCTTATTCGACTCTTATAAAGTGAACCACAATGCCGATTCTCCTTTGTGGGAAAACTCTATCCACTTTTTAAACATCTCACTACAGATCCATCTGTGTTTACAGGGTCATCAAGGATGATTGCTGGAATTTTCAAGTGTTATTGTAAAAAGAGTATCAGTTTGCGTGGGGCATCTTAAAATGTTTAGAAAAGCTTCCTCAGTTCACTTTGTCGGGAGATGTGAACCAGCGTCATTGCATACGGTTATAAACCATAAGTGCTCTACCACCAGTACGGACAGCTGATAAAAAGAATTGTCCACCGGTGTTGCCGTCCACATGGAACTCCGTAGCTTCAGCAACGTTTCTCCATTTGCCCCAGAGTGTTAACTCTTTGTACCCATTTCCTAGAGACTCTGCGAATCCCGGGAACTGCCCAGTTTCGGACACCGGCCGTGGGCTGCAGCAAGTCACAGCTTGATTTTAAAGTGAGTCTCTTATCGACTGCACTAACGTGGCCCAACTCTGGTGATATCTAGACACAGTTCCTGCCGTGTCTGCTGAATGTGTCCAGAGTTAGGGTTACAATTGGTATAGCAACCTTCTCTTTAAGATCCTGGCTGATCCTTATCTTTTCAGAGCCGTTTGACGCCCTAGAGTCACACAATGTCATATAATACTTTAAACTTTTCCGAACATTTTAAGACACCACACGTGTATGTAAATTAAATGTGTTTTTTTATAATAAAAGTTTAAAATCCTGGCTATCGTTTTCATTGACCCTGTTCAATGACAGGATAAGAGAGGGGGTGGGTGTTAAGGAGACAGGAAAGATCAGTGATCACTTCAAAGTATTCTCTAGTGAAGATTTAGTATTTGACTCTTTAAAGGCAGTGTTTTTCCAAGGGTTCCTTTTTTTCTTTTAATTCTGAAGTTGAGATCTATTTTAATTTTTTTTTTTCAGTCTTAAAGACCGTAGAGTCAGTATTTGTGGGTAGAAATTTTTGATAAATTTTTTGGTGAAGTCATGGGGGAAATATGTTAATGAACTACCTGAAGAAATAGTTGGGCAATCCATGTTGGTATTAAAATCAAATAGAATATATTCTTAGATAACAGCCACAATAATGTTACAATACTCCCATCTAATGATCTCCTGACCTTGTGCATTGTTTCCAACACAGATGATAGTGTCAAAGATCGTCCTCTCAGCAAGACTCAACAGATACCTCTACCCCCGGGGTCACAGAGGCGGCCGCCACAACCTCCTCAGCCACCTGTCAGTTTAGAGCACATACCGCCGCCCCGCGACCCAAAGCCTCCCCTCCCACCTCTTCCTTCAGGGCGGCCTGACTCCAAGTATGCCAGCCGCAACGCACCACCACCTCCTGTAAAGGCTAAAGACCCGCTAAAAGTTGTCGGGCAGAAGTCCAATATCAAGCTTACGCTGCTGCCCAAGGTAAGTTCACATATGGAAGCACAGCTTGAGTTCACTTGACCTCTGAAGTTATGCTTATTCGGCTGTTCACTTGATTCCGGAAGTAAAGCACACAACTAAGTTGACTTGACTGCTAAAGTTAACTTCACGCAACTAAGTTGACTTGGTTGCTAAGGTTAAGTTGACACGACTAAGTTGACTCCTCAAGTTAAGTTCACACAACTAAGTTGACTTGATTCCTAAAGTCAAGTTCAGGCAGCTTCACTTCACTTGATTCCTAAAATTAAGTTCACTCAAATAAGTTTTCTCGATTCCTAAAGTTCAGTTCACACGACTAAGTTGACTTGACTCCTGAAGTTAAGTTTACATTACTTGAGTTTATGTAATTCCTGAAGTTAAGTTCACACTACTTGAGTTCACGTGATTCCTGAAGTTAAGTTCACATTACTTTTCACTTGATTCTGAAGTTATGCTTATATATTTACTTAATTAACTTGACTGACGAAGGTAAGTCCCCACATGGAGACAAAACTAACAAAATGTTCAACTTCACTTGACTGCTGAAGGTAAGCTCTTAAGTGGAAATGTTCAAGCTCACTTTACCGCCGAAGTATGGAGATGCTCACATTCACTTGACAGCCAAGGATAAGTTTGCACATCCAGATGCAACTAATGACATGTTTAACTTCATTTCCTTGCCAAGCGTAAGCCCATGCTTGGAAGCATAACCAAATGAATGAAAAAATCAACACCTGATATGGAACAAAAGTCAGAGGCCACTGAAAATAATTCAAAGAAAGTTAATAAAAGTTGAAAGAGACAAACTTCAGAAAGATAAAGAAATAAGAGAAATGTCAGGACAACCACTAGCATCAACACTTATAAAACAAAGAAAATGACAGTGTATAAGACAAAGAAAATGACAGTGTATAAGACAAAGAAAATGACAGTGTATAAGACAAAGAAAATGACAGTGTATAAGACAAAGAATATGGAAATGTATAAGACTAAGAATTTAGCGATGTTTAAGGCAAAGAATATGGAAATGTATAAGACAAAGAAAATGACAGTGTATAAGACAAAGAATATGGAAATGTATAAGACAAAGAAAATGACAGTGTATAAGACAAAGAATATGGAAATGTATAAGACAAAGAAAATGACAGTGTATAAGACTAAGAATGTAGCGATGTTTAAGGCAAAGAATATGGAGATGTGTAAGGCAAAGAATATGCGGCGATGTATAAGACAAAGAATGTGGCGATATATTGGGTGCATCTTGAGGAGAAGGGAACAGATAATCACCAATCAGGCACTTAAATGGGGGCAAATACACATTAATTCATGCAAAAGTGCCCATACATACACATACTCAGTTATACGGATGTGAGTCGTGGACTGTCTTTCAATCATTAAGGAAAAAAATTGGGGCTTTTGAGCTGAAATGTTTTAGAAAGATTCTGAGAATACCATGGACCAAGAAGAAAAATACTGGGAGAAAACGGTGGTGGGGGGCACTGTACAAGGACAAAGGGTGAGGGGCCAACCACTGCAAAGATGGCCACAGGATATAAGGGACACCTGGATTGGGAAAGTGCAGGAGGTTGAACAGCTGGCCAGTGACCAAGTGTCTTTCAGACGGACTCTGATGAGATCGATGTTCTGCAAAGGCTGTACTGTATGATGAGAAAAACTCAGTTCACAAAGGGTGCTGTGTTAAATAGGATTTGCTGACAACCATAGTGTAGGGAACCATTTAGGACAAGAGAGTTTGAGGTCTTCAAAGAGATGAATGAACAAGCTTCATCAGGATACACACCTCCTGGCAGAGATGTACATAGAAGACCTTGGTCGGGAAATTTCCGACTTACCACTTCTCGTCACTGCATTAGGCGGCAGAGTTAAAATAATGTGTCTCACACACCTCCTCCTTCAGCCTGAATCAGACATCAGTGTTCCTGATGCCTCCTCTGTCATCTGATAGTTTGATGGAGTTATTGCTGCTTGTTGTCATTTGCCTGAAGTAACTGGAAGATTTGTCTGGCAAAAGATTATACAGTGTACTGTTTGTTTTTGCCTTATTTGAAGCTTATATTTTTGTTTGCTGTCATCCCTTTATTTGGGCCTCATTGGGGGCTCAGGGGAGAGAATAGACCCCTGCCTGTTAACTTGTCTGCAGTAAGGGCCCATTTATGAATGGTTTACTGACATTCAATGAGTTAGACAGAAAGGTGCAGCATAGCTCCTACTACATCACTACACGCTAACCACACTTTTAAAGGTGGAAGAAGTAGTAGTTTGCTACTGATCTGTTTAAACTTTCCACAGTTATCTTGTCTCCATTCTTGTATATATTTCCCCACGTATGATTTATTTATTTGTTTTGCCTCTTTTGAAATACTGAATTAATTGCAATGACAAGAGATGATTTCTTGTAACTGTGACCAGCTAACACTAACTTTATACATTCTTTTTATATCAGCAACAGCAACAGTCATCGCTCGGAGCCAGACCCAACCCACTAGACTCACCCCCTCACAAGAGACGACTGTCAGAGCGGGACACGTCCCCACCGCCGGCGCCACCTGCCAAGAGAGCAAACCTGCCGGTGCCGTCCCAGTCCACAGCCCTGAGGTTGGCAATAGGTGAGTACTTCCTCTTCTGGTATTCATTGCCTAGTTATCTTACACCTGTTGACTAGTTCTGGTATCCATTGCCTAGTTACCTTACACCAGTTGCCTAGTTCTGGTATCCATTGCCTAGTTACCTTACACCTGTTGCCTAGTTCTGGTATCCATTGCCTAGTTACCTTACACCAGTTGCCTAGTTCTGGTATCCATTGCCTAGTTACCTTACACCAGTTGCCTAGTTCTGGTATCCATTGCCTAGTTACCTTACACCTGTTGCCTAGTTCTGGTATCCATTGCCTAGTTACCTTACACCGGTTGCTGAGTTCTGGTATCCATTGCCTAGTTACCTTACACCTGTTGCCTAGTTCTGGTATCCATTGCCTAGCTACCTTACACCTGTTGCCTAGTTTTGGTATTCATTGCCTAGTTACCTTACACCGGTTGACTAGTTCTGGTATCCATTGCCTAGTTACCTTACACCGGTTGACTAGTTCTGGTATCCATTGCCTAGCTACCTTACACCGGTTGCTGAGTTCTGGTATCCATTGCCTAGTTACCTTACACCAGTTGACTAGTTCTGGTATCCATTGCCTAGCTACCTTACATCGGTTGACTAGTTCTGGTTTCCATTGCCTAACTACCTTACATCGGTTGACTAGTTCTGGTATCCATTGCCTAGCTACCTTACACCAGTTGCCTAGTTCTTTTATCTATTGCCTAGCTTCCTTAGACCAGTTGCCTAGTTCTGGTATCCATTGCCTAGCTACCTTACATCGGTTGACTAGTTCTGGTATCCATTGCCTAGCTACCTTACATCGGTTGACTAGTTCTGGTTTCCATTGCCTAACTACCTTACATCGGTTGACTAGTTCTGGTATCCATTGCCTAGCTACCTTACATCGGTTGACTAGTTCTGGTTTCCATTGCCTAACTACCTTACATCGGTTGACTAGTTCTGGTATCCATTGCCTAGCTACCTTACACCAGTTGCCTAGTTCTTTTATCTATTGCCTAGCTTCCTTAGACCAGTTGCCTAGTTCTGGTATCCATTGCCTAGCTACCTTACATCGGTTGACTAGTTCTGGTTTCCATTGCCTAACTACCTTACATCGGTTGACTAGTTCTGGTATCCATTGCCTAGCTACCTTACATCGGTTGACTAGTTCTGGTTTCCATTGCCTAACTACCTTACATCGGTTGACTAGTTCTTTTATCTATTGCCTAGCTTCCTTAGACCAGTTGCCTAGTTCTGGTATCCATTGCCTAACTACCTTACATCGGTTGACTAGTTCTGGTTTCCATTGCCTAACTACCTTACATCGGTTGACTAGTTCTGGTATCCATTGCCTAGCTACCTTACACCAGTTGCCTAGTTCTGGTGGGTACTGATTGCTAGCACCTGGGACAGAGAGGTGCTGAGCCACACGTGGTGCACCAGGATAAGGGATCATATTGGTCAGGGTCAATCTGCACCTCTCCGCAGTTATCCTGGAAACAAGGTTCCCAACAAGGGAGCCTGGCCATCATTGATGCAGTCGACCTTTCCACCAAAGAAGACACAAACAGTAGGTTGCACAAAATATTTTGCTGCGCAGATACAGTAACAGTTGATTAAAATCGAGCAGATAAACGAATCCTTCGAACTGAAACACAAATTAACTACAATTAAATTTAAAAAAAACTCTTTCACCAGGGTAAATACAAGGTAAAGACATTGTCATTTTGTGTGCATATTTCTAGATTATAGCACACACCTGTCTTGAAACAGCAAAATAGGGTAGGCAGTAAATTATGCAATCCATTGTTTGTGTCTTCTTTGTCAAATTCACAACAGGGAAACATTGCTTTGAAATTCTGTCAAAGGGCATCTGCTTGAAAGGTACGGACCAGTGGTCCTCACACAAATCGGCCGCATACGTGAGATAGATGTGCACCCAAAACTCAGACCTGAACCAAGACCAGAATCCAGAAGTGGACAAACAGCTTGAACTTTCTGCAAATTTCCATCTGGTGAACATGATGAAGAAGGCTATCAGTTGGGGTTCCAGCACCCTTGCTACGAGTATCACCCGATAATTGCTTTTGTTTCTCTGCCAATGAAAACCGTAAAAATACCCATTACTGCAGTCCTGCAGTTTCTGAATACACAGTTTACAACACACATCTCTGGGAGCACATACTGTAAGCAGTCTCCATGAAATTCACAGCTCACAGTGTCATAACATGCACTCAACTCGGTAGCTGGCTGATGGAACTGGATTGTCCCTTATTGTCCTACCCAGTTTCCTGCTAGAGGTTGAAACTCCCAACCTGCCATTGGTTTTCTTAGGGAAACAGGATTCACTTGTCACGTCCTGCTGTATACCATATAACCTCACTTCCAAATATTGCATGTTTCACTGAGCGCAAGATGTGCTTTTAGAAGCCAGCTTGAGTCGGCAGCCTGCAGACCTGGGATTTCTAAGGTTGATCAATGTTGGCAGATGTGTCTACCCTTGGATCACTAGCCAACAGGGCAGGGATTGCGCCTGGTAGGAGCCTGTTGGGTATTTTAACAATTCTATTGATCATTACACCTGTCTTGTGTATTCATCTTTCTGCGATGTGTTTATGGTTGAGTCAGCTGGAGGAGAAAGAAGCAGGACCTTATATCTTCTTCAATACCTGAAGCAGTAAAAGAGGAATTGAAGAAGCTAGGGTAGACTTTTGTTTACACCGCAGGATGCTTTTGTTAACTTATGTTTGCTTATATTGGATGTCTTGGTCAGTAAGATATGTACCACACAGCTTAGCTGTAAACGATAATACAGATGAAAGCTGCCCTTTTGAGGGTGAAGACAGAAGAAGAAGAATGTTGCCGAGATTCCCTCGGGCATCACCTATAATCTTTGGGACAGAAAGACTAAATATCTTGGCTGCAGTTTTCATATCAGCTTTGTAGCTTTGTCAGTTATTGGTTTCTACAAGTTGTCGTTATTTTTTTTTTCTCTCCAGAGAAAGCCTCAAAGATTCAGATCAGGCAGGAGAAAGGCAAGTCGCCACCTCCTGCTGTAGCTCCACAGTCTCTGCCCTCAGCATCTTTGTCAGCCAATTTACCTCGTGCCAAAGCTGCCGTGTCTCCCCAGAAACAGCCGGGCGGTGTCAAGCCTCGGGTGATGGAGCCTCCTGTGGCCAAGACTGTGCCCAAAGTCCCTGCAGCCAACATCCCCGCACCGACAGTGACCGGAACCAAGGTCAAGAAGAGCATGTCTTCTCGCAGAGAAGAGCTTTTGAAGCAGTTGAAAGCCGTTGAGGATGCCATCGCCAGAAAGAAATCAAAATTTCAGTGACCATAGCTGGGTCATTAGATGCTTCTTTCATGTTCTTATTACAGAAGGGGCTGGGCAGAGAGATGGGTTCCCAGGTCACTGTCAGTCAGTGAAACTCATCTGCTACTGTTATACAAGGTTGGCTAATGTTGTACAAGGTCGGACAGTGTTTGTACAAGGTCAGGCAGTGTTGTACAAGGTTAAACATTGTTGTAAAAGGTCATGCAATGTACAGGTTCAGGAAAAGTTGGACACGGTTGGACAATGTTGTACAAGGTCAGGTAATGTGGTTCAAAGCCAGGCAATGTTGTACAATACCTGTACAAGGTTAGCTAATGTTGTGGAAGGTCAGAGGATAAGCGGGGCTAAGCAACTAGCGACACTAGGGTCTGCAAAATCTGGCCCGCAGAGGCCTAGCAAATGGCCCGCAGATCATTGTCAGCTTTTTTGTGTTAATGCTCAATCTGTGCTGGTCCTTGGACCACCTCTGGCCCATTGACAATTACCATTTTCAACTTTTGGGGTGGGGGGAGTAAATTTAGTTAAATAACCATTCTGTATTAGGTCAGCCGGGGGTGTACATGATCCACAAGTAGTATTCCAGATCGGCTGATGCAGGTCTCGCTACTGCGTACAGTCGCAGCTGATATATGCACCTTCCTGCCTGGAGCGCACTGTGAGACTGACTGACCAGACCGTGGTCAAATGTTCAGAAAACCCACACATTTCTTCTCTTTAGATTTTGTCGATGTGTTTTGGTAGCACAAGAGCCAGTGAGTGCTGCCGACTGGAACCATTTGATATGTAAATGATATGTACAGTCATTATAACCAATCACTATTTTGTGCTGGGAGGAAAACGATGGATGCGTGTGATTTGTATGTTCTGTATCATTGCTGTAATCTCATGTCTGTTTTGTTATACATTTTTATTTTAGGCTGCTTTTGTTTTTAAACATTAAAGATGTGTTTAATGACCTGACTGGCACTAGTAGCTTTTACACTTGTTTGTTTCTAGATTGCTGTGATTGTGTAGTAGTTAATGCATTCGACTGTCTCACAGTAAGAACTTTTTCAGGAGTGATTAGATTCTTCAACTAAATTGTCTAGGTGACCAACCCTTCTTAGGTTACTGTTCTTTGCTTGCCTAATGGGCCCAATTGACACACAGATGGTGTCTATTTTACAGGGGGTAAACTTTCCCCAATCCTCCCACTGATTTCTCTTTGTGAGGTATGTTTCTCACATTGTTTAAAAAATTTTTTTTTAAATTTTAAGAACTGCAAGAAGGTTTTTGGTTTATTTCCACGTTGAGCTAGTTGGATCTGTGTAATTCTCTGCCTGTGTCTTGGTGCTGAACAGACCCCAGAACATGTCTTGCAAGACTTCTTCCCTGGAGGAGCTGTGAGAAAAAATGGAGACATGTGGCCATACAAAGTTGACCTGACAAGTAAGCTTTGAGAGACGTTGAGCGGACACCCAGTTTAGGGCCTGTTGTGGATTAAAGACACAAGCAGAGATCGATGAAGAAGAATAAATATTTATTTTGTGGCTTTTCTCTGTATGGGTGAGTTTGGCAGATTATCTGTTCCTTGTCCACGACATCGTAGTCGCCATGATGGTTGTGCAGGTTTTGTTGTTAGCAAAATTCTTCTTCTTCCACCATCTGTGAATTCTGGCGGAAGGTCCCGGTTAAACGTCCGCTTGGACTTTTACCCTGGACCTGAGTTTTGCGTGTACAACCGTTTTACCGGCTTTACCGTTCCCTGCCTCACAAGCAGATGTACTCCGACTTTGAGGGAAGTAGCAAAATTGATTGAGGGCCCCCTTGAAACTTCTTCTTGCCCCCGAGGGTGCCCCTCTCCCTCCAGTTGAAGACCACTGATCTAATATGAAACATAAGTATGATTGTAACGTTGGTCCTGAAATGTCTTCTGAACACCAGGAGGTCTTTCTAATGATTTCCCTGTAGCACTGTGGATAATTATTCTCCGGAAAGACGACAGCAAGACAGGAAAGAAGTTGATTTGATCCTCAACTGGGATTTAGGATTTGCTGCCAGTGAGAATGATATGAGAAGTGGCTGGCCGACCGGTTGAGAACACTTGGCTCTCATGCGGGGAGGCCCAGGTTCAAATCTAAGTCATGGACTTTTTCTGTCATGGACAAAAAAATCCTTACCTACGTAGTCCGCGGCGACAGATTATATAGGACTAGACCGATATTTTATAAACCAATCAGCACTTGGTGGGTGATGTGGTCGACATCACACCGGCCACCTTTACTTCCCAGGACTTCTCATTTTGTCAATTTAAGGCTGAGTCGACTTTGGAGCCAAGGTATTTTTTATTTTTATAAGTCCGACTCTGGATCCGAATCTGTGACCTTTAAATTCACAGTCGAGCGTCTAGTTGGTACTTCAGCCCACCAGTTTTTTAAATGGCAGAGAATATTCTTTCTGCTTGTTGGGATACTTCTGTCACATCAAATATTGCGGTAGATTGGAGAGAACAGAATAGAGGGCATAATCCTGGGGTCCAGTTGGACACAGGAGTCACCTTGAACCTGAAAATTCCTGAGATCAAACCCTTTTTGACTGGATGGTACTAGCAACGTGTTTTTAAAGGCAAATCTAACACTCAGTGGGTGATGTGAACAAAATTGCACTGGTCATCTTTGCTAGCTAGAACATTCCCTGAAATAATTTGAGGCTGGATAACCCATCTTTTTTTGCTTGCCTGAAATAAGTTGTCTGTATCAGCAGTTTTGTCACCCCTGTGAATTCCAGTGTGATTTCTAATTCACTCACTCACTGGTCACTAGAGTTCACTTTCCACTTGTTCGTTTTGGCTAAGGTCATCATCATCATCATGTGCCCTGCCAACTGGCATAGGTGCTCATGTGTCTCCACAGATCACGATACCTGGTTGCCTGGAACAGCTCTCTTGATGATATCCCTCCATGCCATCGTTTTAGCCCATCCAGCATCATCTTTCTTGGTCTGCCTCTACCCCTTCTTCCTTATCTTACCAGTTGTCACGATGTTCTCCAATGTCTCTCTTCTCATTATATGGCCAAAGAACAGTGTTTGTCTCTTTCTGATTGTTTTGGCTAAGATGTTTACCATAATTTGTTATTCTGAGTGCAGTCTTGGAGTGTTCTGCTCTCTTGGAGACTGTCCACATGTGCCCATGACTGAAACAATTTTCTTACATTTCTTGTACCTGTTGCTGTGTACTCGGTTGTACCCTGTTCTGAGACGCATGATAATAACTTGTTCTGATCTGTCCATAATAAAATAGTTGTCTTGAGTGCGTCTGATAGTTTTCTAATTGATTTAATGATGTTTTTTTGTTTTTTTTGGGGTATTAGGTCACCTTACCAAAGTTTTACCCTAGTAGAGATTTGAACTCATGACTTCTGGGTTGATGTTTAAATACAGGGTGATTGAAAAGTAACTCCTAGTTTTAAAACGCTTAACATATATTTCCGTGTATCAGACAGTATGTTTTCCTAAAATTAGTCTATAAAAAATATGTCTAGCCCTATATTCCCAATACACCCCAAGGCGTGGAAAAGGGTCCTTTACTTTTACTTGAGACGTAAATTCTCATATTCATTCTTTAAGTTCTTCACCAGCCCTTGCATCATTCTGAAACACGGATACAAACAGATTGAATTCACAGATTACATTCTTGTACGTTCAAGATCAGACAACAAATTTAAGAGAAAAATTACTATAAATAAATACTTTGTAAGTATTTTTAAATCGAGAGTTACTTTTTAATCACACTGAATGAATGTCATAATATTCATTAAGAACTGATCGGGAATGTGGCCTAGAGGTTTGCCATCAGTTTGAAAAATGTTAAGTTCCAGTCTAGTTCAGAGTATCAGCTGAGAACTTTCTTCACAGGAATCCACAGTTGTGATGTCTCACTGGCTGTGTCTTGATGTCCTGGGCAAGGATGAACAAATAAAGGCAAACTCAACATTTGGGAGTCGTAATGAGTAGGCCGTGTTAGTACTGCCTTGGCAAATGTTCACACCTGCTATTGTAACATTCCGCCTACTGTGTCTTTTTGGAAAATTAATAATTGAAGGCATTGTGTGCAAGTTAACAACTCCAAAGCGTTGCAAGTCGCAATGTGTAGGCCATATGGCCACCGCCTTGGCAAATGTTTTGAACCCATTCTCCAGCCTAATGATAATAGTGTCTAAACTCTGGTAGGCAAACATTGGGTGCATGTGGCATACACTGCAAATCTCTTTGCTGTTGGAACTTGTAACATGAGGCCGCGTTTCAAAATTAGTTCATGCTCCCCAGAATAATATTTATAATGTGGGGGAAATCGTGTGTACACACATTCTTTGTCTCTTTCTCTTTCTCCTTCTCTTTCTCCTTCTCTAAAGTGTTGATGACTCCTGAGACTTCTAAGACTCAACCTTGGTGGGAGGTAGCATGACAAATCCCAGGTGTCCCGTTCAGCCCCTAAATTTAGGGCTCTAAAATGGCAGCATCAGCCAGGTGTCACCTGCAGTTTATTGCGATTATGGATAAGGCATATTTATGTTTTATTTGTGGTATAGAGATTGTGCGCTGAGCCGAGAGACTCATAATATGATTTAGTAGTTAGAGTTTCCTTACTTTGAAAGTCCATTTTGGAACAATGCTTCCAGATCACGTGAGGCAGTCACTGTGAATTTTAGTTTGATTTGATCTGATGACATTGAAGTGGAAGTAGCAAATCCTGATGAATGACCTCACCTGAATTTGGGGAGATGAATTATTGAACACTAATTTTATTTCTCATAGGTAAATGTGGGAGGATCGACTTCATTGCACTGGGTTGTATCCCATTTGCTCAGTCTCCCTCTGCAGAACAGCTGGCTGCCTGCCGAAAACATTGCAGGAAGCATGACCTCCGTAGCTCCAGTGACGATCCCCAGTGATTTCCATAAAAACTGTACTTGTGAACTGAACTGCACTGCTGTGGAGTGAACCCATGACCTTCAGAGCGT